AAGCAATGCAATTTCTGGTTTTGTGGAGTCCATAAAACGCATTTTTTCCATTTTTTGCGTCAACGCCCGTAATGTCGAGCACTAACGCAATTGAACAAGCGAGAGTTCGCCCAGCAGCACACAATGCTGCTCATCATGTCGCTTGCCTGCGGCTGCCGTGACAATGCAGGAAACTTTGAACATTCAAAGTGGGTCAACTTTTGGGAACTCTAATCGCAAACAAATTTTTAACAGATGAAATATGTTATAAACCTATATGCAACCTTAAGGAGATAGAACAATGTGTCTTCCATAAGCCCTCATAGTGCGATCGTAATAAGGCTCAGTAGTTACCTCTCCAGGATACACCACCGTCCTAGTATCGAAGTCGCATGTTGGCATATCTCCCTCTGATCCACAAAGGCCGCGACTGCCTATGGTGGTGAGGACCTAGGGCAGACCTTGGCCAGGCTGAGCTCGGGATTCCAGGGAACCACGATGGCTCAGCCAGCAAATCTCCGAAAAATAGAGGTTATGCTGGGGGCCCGTACAACCAGTGTGGACGGGCCATTCGAGTATCAAATATCAAATAATTTACCTCTTTTTCTTTCGAATTTCCACTACCACTATCAAAAAGTGAGTTTTTCAAACTTTAGATCGTCAGAAAGAAAGTCAGACAAGTGGGAGCTATCCTAATACACTTACGACGAAGCTACTTTTTCAACAACCTATGACAATTTCTCGAACAACAATTGAGAAGAAGACATATTTATGTAGTGGATTTTGCTCCTCTCCTTTAAGAATATGTACAACCTTTTCGAAGTATTCTTTCAATATCAATTTCTGGATTTAAATCATGGACAAATGGGAAAGAAATTTAAACTTCTGAAGTTCCCAACGCAAATATGACAGCTGGAAACATGAGCAACGCAGTGAGGAAAACCATTAATGTGCGTAAAAAGATGTGCAACGAGGAATGGTGGATAGGAAGAAATCAACCTCTTCAAAAGATTGATTTTGATAGTGAGAAAACTTGTTTCTGCTTGGAAAAGATCCGTAGATTCTACTGGCTTTACCTGAACCAAAAATTTCACTACGAGCAAAGAAGTGCGGTGTAAACTGGGCAGCGAGCAACATTTTTGGACCACTTGCAATGAAACAAATGTTGTCGCGCGTTAAGAGAACCTATTGATGGTGACCAAAAAGCTGGTAAGGTAGCAAGACATTCCGAATCTATTGCGATACCCAAAAAAATCAGCTCTACAATGGAACAATATGATTAAGCCAATGAATATCAAGCAAACGACAATGAGTTCACTGATGAGGGCGTAAAAAGCAGCGAAAAATAGGACCGTGATTCCCGGAAATCGTCTGGAGTGAAAGAACAAATTCGGCATAGATAAATAAAACCAGTACATTTCGGTAAATTCTTTAGGTCTGACTATATAGAACAGCAACAGATATGATAGGAGAAGTCAGAAACTGACAACCACTGAAGACATGAGGAGATTCATAGGTAGTAGTAGGAATTTTCGCTCAAATTTAACTGGTCAGAAAGAACTGAGTGAAGGTTGCTTGCATTCAAATGTCGGGGATGCAATACCTAGCTATACTGAGGAAGAATTTTTTTAAAAGTTGTTGGTTTATTAGCAGACGAAGTGGTCAACTAATGAACAAGAGAGGTCGTGAAGGATCAGTGAATTTATCGAAATTCTTAGATTGCTGAGCTAACACGAGATTATTACGGAACCTCCATTCAAGTAATGCCTTTGGGTTTCAACGCCTTCGCCTCGTTCAGAGGGGCATTAATTCAAGTGGATTGTCCACCGGCGATCATCGTCGCGACGTGGGTGTTCGTTGTGCTATCGGATCGAATGAGATGGAGTGGGGCTCCGCTCGAATGAAGTTACCTCATTCGCCCAGACCCTTTTATAGAGGACCGTTGTTGATCATTTGGCATCCTTTTTGTTCTGCTTTTATAGTGGTAATACATCTTTTAGCAGTCGGTGTACAGTGTCGTTTAGAGAAGTTTCATAAACATGGTCCAAAAGGACGTAAATGTGTAACGTCAAGTTACTCAAACCGTGTAAAAGAGGTGGATACGCACATAGGATCGTAGTGTGCTGGCAAATGTTGTTCAGCCTTGGCAGTGTAGTTGAATCAGTGACGATTGATTAATGTGCATAAGGTAAAGAGAGGACCACATACAACCCAACAGGACCAAGGTGCTCGACCGATTAAAAGAAAAAGATGATCAAGAGCCACTATTACGAAAAACTTTATCGGTGGACATCGATGAACTACTCTCTGTTTAACACTCGACACAACTATGAATGAGTCTAATCGTTGCCGTTTGCCACACAAGATGATAGCTAATTTTTCTGCGTGTTTAGTGTGCATTGGTATCAATGTGGAATACTCTTCAATAACTCTAGAAGCACGCTCCTTTTGTGTTCTTTAATTCACAATCCGTGTTTTCTGCAGATTTTTCCACTCATTTATACCTTTTTAAAACCCATACGCCCTCCAATTTGTTGTACTACTCACCAGTGCTTTCCAACTTTGGGTTACGAAAACACTTATCACAGAAAATGATTTACAATCTTTGATCGTGTAGATGGCGAGCGAATGCGACTCCACCCTCATCCAACTGTTCGACGATAGCGAGGAATTGAAGAAGCTGAGGACAACGAGAAATCTAATTTCCAAATGGTCGAAAAACCGTAAAAAAAGGAATAGGAAGACAAGAATGTGGACAATAATGATAAAATCACCAGCGGATGATGAAGCAAATTTCTGGTTTCCGGTTGCAAAAGATATCAACAAACACAAACAAAACAAAGACCAATCATAGAAATCGATATACTGAGAAGATAAAAGAGTCATCACTCTGTACACATGAGAGCTATTAAATTGCTAAGGTCAAGGGATTACAGGACTCCCTGTCTGCCCTCTGGTAAAGATTCCGCCGGAGCTAATTCTATGTCAGGAAACAGTTATTGCAAATTACCTACTCAATCCCATTTATACGACGACACAACCTATGTTGGACAAGGCATGCACACAAGATCTGTCCACTTATCGAACTTGTCCATGTAAACTGCAGTATAATATAGAGGCCTGACAAAAACGATTGCGTTGATGGGGCACACGGCATTCTGCTAGTATAAAAAGGATAAAGCTCTCGGTGTTGATCAATCCCTGAGGAATTCGCCGTGCATTCGGCTTCATCAAGCATCGTTTGGAGGTGATTGAATACATATCTGGTCTTTACAATGACTCGCGATGGCCTATCGGTATATCGAGCCAGTGCTTCCATCCTCCCTGACAGGTCTGGTACCAATTTGCCGACCACGGAGGGACGGAAGGCTTGGTGGGGTATGGGCGCAGAGATCGATTCTATGTGTGTGTGTCGTAGTGGCGCCTCCAACCAGTATACTTCACACATATGGGGAATAATTACTGTATAATCATTCAGACTAAACTAAAGAGACAAGGTACGGTAGGAGAAACAGTCGGGAAGAAATGCAATGAAATCAATTCATAATAATTTCCAGAACCGACTTCCTGTTAACCACGACAGTGATCAATAATTTAACGTTTTTTTTCCTGGTAAGCAGACGCGTCGTTACTAACACACCATTAAGTAGATTACGACTAACGTTTAGGCAGATTTAGCCTTCTTCCCGCACAACCTGGAAAGTTCATATTGGTACGCAATCGACTTAGCCAAATTCTTTCGTAACCCTAACAGAAAAGTTCAAGAATTCGATTTAAATTGAAATTTTACCAAGGAAACCTTGATTTATTGATCAAACTGTTTTTCCCACCTGCGGTTAAAGAAATCATTAATAAATGACGTGAATAATTTAACCATTAGGTACTAGTCTTCTTTCAGATAGTGCGCATACACGCGAAGCTATTGTAACAAGAAAAAGGCTGCTTTTGGTTATTAAGGTATTACAAAAATTGGCAAAAAACTGCAGCTTCAGAATCGTTGAAAAAGATCGAAAACCATAATATAACACTCATTTAAGAGACTAGAAGCGCTTCGATACACCGAATATGTTAAATGAACGTATGCCATGGGGCTCTAGCCACTTATTCAGGCTTTAGAAGTGCTTATCACTATGACGAACGGGTACGTAAATATGAGTAGCTAGTGTACCCTCAATGGTTTACAGGCTCACAACTTCCAATGGATATTATTGGATGCCGAACTCAAACATACAGCCGACATTCACCACTTCACCAGGATTACTCAAGCTAATAATTCGACCGTGTCACCGAAATTTAACTTACTCCACGGTATCTGGCCCGAAACTAGTGCCCTTTAACAAGAACAGCGCTAATAGTGGGTAAAATGTGACGCCCTTTAGTGTCCCTAGTGTACTCTGGGCGAACGAAGCCGTTTTGATGTATGAGGAAAACGAATGGAATGGAGTTTGCTACTTTCCTCCTATGTCTCTCATTAATTGATTCAGTTAGCTTCAATGATTAATGGATGTATAGTTCACACAAATGATTCCAGTATTGGTTATCAAGACCTTCTGAAAATGCGAATATATTCATGCAGAGGAAAACGACAGTGACCTTTGACATCATGAAAGATAGTGAGATGACAAAATTCCACATAATTCTTCGATGAAACAAAAACCGAAGAAAAATAAAATAACTATGTAAACTTAAAATCGATTAAAATAAGTAGATTGCAATGATATGCCTTTTCATTCGAGAATGCCCCATACAAACATGTGTATTCTGAGCTCGTGTTTTAAAAGCGCTGAAAAATATGAAACTTAAACAATTCTGTAAAGCTTAATTCCAACCTTCCGATCAAAAATAAGGATTTTGCCGACTATAAGTGGCTTTTTCTTCCAAAAAGTTAGAAAAATTAGTGGCTAGGAAATCACTTCGTGAAAAAAAACCAGTGAATAAACGACAGAAAAAGCAGATACAGAACGAAGCAACAACTCTACATTATTTCGTAAGAGTATTTTTCCATGCGTAACAACATCTATTTAGAGATAAACTAACTTTCTTAAAGACTCCACGTTCACTTTCTCAGTGTGTTCGGCTTCCTTCAGACGAGCGGCCTGAGTCTTAGCATCGACAGAGTTCGCAGCAACGGTTTTACCTGCCATCCTTGCCATAGTCCACGTTTTATTTTTTGCTAATAGTTCTGAGCAAGATCCTCGTGGAGGTTCCTATTAAAATGAAAACACTGAAAATCATGCCAATAATTATGCTGCAACAAGGTAATAACTTAAAACAATTTCTTGGAAGAGTGTTTAATATAGACGCTACCTTATAACCTTTCACTTTACGATGACCTCGCTTCACCTCGGTCTCTTCATCGCTTATAGGTTCGTCTTCTTCTTCTGGTTTATCGAAATCCGAATCGACCTCGTCCACATCGGAATGTGCGGGCGATTCAAACAGATCATCTGCATCGTCCTACATATAAGATACTCATTTGGTCACTTCTATAAACAAGAAAACAAAAACGAAAATTGGAAAAGCTCCGCAACTCAATAAGATTCTCCACAGATTACATAAGTATTCCTTTGCTAACGTTCAATGGATTAGCGGAGAGTTATATGAAGTTCACCAGCAAATGAGGGAGCCATGAAGCGCAGTGCTAATGATGTCGATTATCACGAGCGCCGTGCCGGTTCAACCCCGTCTCGAGGCCCACCAAAGCTGTCACCCTTTCGGCGCTGGGAAATTAGTACCAGACTAGTCTGGGAAGAGCTCAATCTCTGCAACCCAAGTGGGAATGCTCTAGCCCAGTTATGTCAGGACTCCAAGAAGATTCGACTCGACCGCCGTCTAACGACATTTTTGACGAAGTTGATGAAGTCCTCCAGCAGCAATAGGACCCACACGCGAAGGTTGGAACACCTTCGTCTGTTATAGATGCGAGGAAACGAATCGAATGGAAGACGTGCTAGGATCCGTAACCCAGATGTGATAGACGGGTCGTGTGAATAAAACAAAAACAAAGAAAAGTGCCAGCAAGTGTAGACAAAGGGGAATATAACTATCAACACAATTAGATGTTTACACTAATTCTTGATTGATGTACCGATGAAAAAATGAAAAGATGAGAATGAAACCTCATTGAAACCTCCTCCATATGCACTCTTGTAGAAATCATCTTCCTGATTACTTGACTGTATCAGGGCAGACATTTTATTACCCGCATTTGAACGTCGAGCACGTGCGTTTACCATTAGCTCGATCTAAAAATGGGAAGCTCAAATTCTGGGCGACAAGAAAAAATTTGAAAAAAAGGTTGCAAAAACCTTTGTCTCTTCTTCACTGCTACTCTCATCCGAACTCTCATCGCCACCACTGCTGTTTTCTACATCGCTTCGTTTCTCATCTGTAATATTACTGTCGCCACCACTCATCCTTTCTGGAATGGTCAATTAGAAGAGTAGCACCTACTCAACACACATCACGAATAAATCGCAAAGGGAAATCCATACGCACGTCTTAATAGATTCGCTATCATAATTAGTGATTTGAACACCGACGCTGCACAGGTAAAGCCCAGATATGCATCCAGTCACCTCCAAACGATACTTAATGAAGTCGAATACACGTCGCATCTCTAAGGGATTGATCAACGCCGAGAGCTTTATCCGTTATTTTTTCTTCCCTGTTGCTATGCCGCGCCAGCTCCCTCGACACCTTTTCTGTGGCATTGATACTTCTGCCACAGATGTATCTGGCAAGATCCGACAGAACATAGGTTCGATGTGCTATAACTAACAAAGGATACAGGAAACTATGCCTTATTGTCAATTCGCACTATAACAATTCACAAGCAGTACTAAAGTTTCAACTTTTCATTTGTTGGGAGCACTTACTTGATAGTCTCATTTCAGAGAGAGTAGTTTCACTTCAACAATGAATACTAGCACTGAACAAAAAAAATGTATGTTATTCGGACTTGAAACTAAAACTGATATCCAAGGAACACGGAAGAAGCAAATTTTCTAAGACTGACCATGGTTGCACAGAAAATACGTGTCAAAAGCGCTCTATATAGACACCACGGACTCCCATACCATTGACTCCCACACCACTATTTCTGCCACTTTCAAATGCTCAGCTCTATTTCTATAATGAGGAAAAGCAATCAATTTGTCAGTGAGGTATAGCATCCTTCGATATAGTTAGATGTGCTTCACTTAAACGCAAAAGTCTCATCAGTTTTATTTTTTCCCGTTACACGGTACGATCTCATTAGAAGCCCAACTGGAACTCGTATTATTCACGCTCATAAAACGATTACGTGCAACATAACAGAAGCTATTTGGACCACGTTTATAGTCTCGTATTCCACTTGGCCAAAATAACAGCGCCCGACTCCAGGCATCATCATTCGCAAGGATGTAATCAATCGTTCATTATGACACTCGCTCAGTGTTAGGCGATACCATTCATCAGAAGAAAGCACTTTTCGGCAGTACGGATACCAAATTTCTAAGAAAGAACGAAGCATACGAACTGAACGAATGAAAAAAGAACTAATGAGAGACAATCACAATGATGTTGAGATATTTGCAAAACTCCGGACAGCAGATATCTGCGGTGGGGAACGAACGCGCTGTTACCCTTTCCAGAGGATAACGCCCTAACCATCCTACTATGCGGGTCCTTCTAATGTAACTAATGAGAGAGAGACTAGGCAGTAGAGCTTTACAATAGAACAATAGAACCAGCTGAGAGACAGGCGGAAGAAGGACCCGCATGGGCTGGTGGTGAACGCATTACTCCCCGGAAAGGACAATAGCGCGTTCGTTCCCCACCGCATACACCTGAGGTCTGGAGTTTTGCAAATATCTCAGCATCATCTTACTAATGAGAGAGTTAGAAACGAACTAAATGAAATTATTATTATATTCCAAACAATTTAGACCTTAATGAATCCTAGAACTGTTTTTATATTCTCCAGAAATGTTGAAAATTAATTTTACAGCACTGCGATTTTCGGCGGATTTGACCGTCGAGTAACTCGAGAGGGTGTCAGTAAATCTTCCATTTCTCCTTGTTGCGTGCAAGAGTAGCCCAGTGAGTTCTGTTCGCTCTAGGGACTCGTCGATCATCATATCTTTCTAGGCTATTCGTGAAGAACTCTGACCATCGGGTCGGTGGTCTTCCTGGAGTATGTTTGACATCCCGAGGAATCTAGTCGCTAACGGCTCTTGTCCATCGATTGTCATTCATACGCATTACGTGGTCGGCCCACCTTATATTCGACTGTTTGGCGTGCAGAACGGCATCTTTGATTTTTGATCGTTGACGCAGGTCGGAGCTTCGGAACCCTTCCCTTATTTGTGTGAGACGGTATACTCCTTGCACCGTCCTTTCGACAGCACGTTCGATAACGCTGAGTGATCTTTTATCCTGCTTAAGCAGCGACCAGATTTCTGACGCATACGTTAGGGCAGGAAGTACCGTTGAGTCGAAAAGGTGGGCACGGAGTCGGGTGATCTTTGTTCTCTTCACTACATCCTCGATGATCTTGAAAGCTCCGCAAGCCGCTCGTTTCTTGCTGCTCAGCTCTGGAGCTAAGTCGTTCATCATGTTGATTTCCCTACCTAGATACGTATAACCGGAGCATTCGGAGCTATTCGTTCCGTTTAGCGTGAATGGGGCATGCGAAACCAATCCGTTCTTCGTGAACATCGTTTTTGTAATATTTAGTCGAAGACCAATCTTTCCACAGGCTGTGTTAAAGTCGACTAGCATACGTTCCGCTTGGCTAATGTTGGTGTTATAAGGATGATGTTATCAGCAAGGCAAAAATGGTGTAATTGTCGACCATCTATTTTCACTTCTACATCTATCCTTCCCAGTGTTCGCATGACGTTCTAGAGGGTAGCAGCAAATAATTTTGGCGAGGTGGTATCACCTTGCCTAACTCCTCTTTTGACGTCAATCTTAATATCGTTTTAGAATGGTGATATCTTGGTTGTAAAATTTTTGTACAGCTCACGAAAAATCTTTATGTACTGAGTAGGGACTCCTTGACTATCAAGGGCTTCCATAACTGTTTCTCAGTTGAATCAAAGGCCTTTTGTAAATCGATGAAAGTGAGGCAGAGCGGTCCTTCGTACTCTCGCGATACTTCAGTGAGCTTTGTTACCGTGTGGATGTGGTCCATCGTACTAAATCCTTTTCGAAACCCTGCCTGCTCACATGGCTGTCATTCGTCTAGTGTTCTGTCAATCCTGTTTAGGATGATTCGTGTGAAAAGTTTGCAGACGACAGACAGTAAGCAGATAGGGCGATAGCTGCCGGGGACCTTGCATTCAGACAGGTAACGTGTGAAGCCGAGCCAGTGTGTTTACGAGGATTGGACGAAGGTTCTTCAGGGGCTCTGGCCTTATCCTGTCCGGACCTGGTGCTGTTCGATTTCTCACCGATAAAATGGCATGTCGGATTTCGGAAGGGAGAACCGGTGGTACAACATATCCATCCTCCTTTATTTCATATGACGGTAGGTGGATGTGGCTATCGAAGAGATCCGAATAGTATTCGTGAATGATTTTCTCCATTGCCTTTCTGTACGCTGTAACTGTTCCGTCTGGGCGTCGGAGTGCAATCATCTTGGTCATTTAATTGGCGAAGCTTCAATGTGCTTTGCGAATGCTTTTCTCAGCCTCTGCAGCTTCGGCCATTACTGCTCCTCTTCTCTCTCTAAGATCTTCTTTTATCACCTCTCTGCATTGTTCTGCAAGTTCGGACTTTTTTATACAGCTCACAAAAACCTTTACATATCGAGCAGGGACACCCTGACTGCCCAGAGCTTCCATTGTTGCTTCTGTCTCAACTGAGCTAAAGCTTTCTTCAAATCGATGAATGTGACACACAGAGGTCTCTTGTACTCTTGCGATATTTCAATAAATCTCGTTATCGTATGGATGTGGTCTGTTGTACTGAATCCTTTTCGAAACCTTGTTTGATCACATCGCTATCCTTCGTCCAGTGTTCTGTTAATCCTGTTAAGGATGACTCGAGTGAAGTGTTTGTAGACGACAGATAGCAAGCAGATTGGACCATAGTTTCAAATATCATGAATGTCACCCTCCTCAAACAATAATACAGCCCTGATCGTCTTTCATTGAATAGGAATCCTGTATTCTGAAATTGAATAGGAAACATGCATCATGAAAGGTAACGTGTGAAGAACCGACCCAGTGTATCGATGAGGACTGGTGGAAGATTCTTCAGGTGTTTAGGTCCAACCCTGTCTGGACTTGGTGATGTTCGAGTCTTCACCGATGAAATAGCATGTCAGAATTCAGAAGCGAGAATTGGTGGGTCGACATATTCGCCTTCCTTTATTTCATATGAGTGTAGGAAGACATGGGAATTGAAGAGATCTAAGTAATAATCGTGAATGATTTTCTCCTTCATCTTTCTGGAAACTGTAACTGTTCCGTCTGGGAGTCGAAGTGCATTCATCCAGTCTCTGGAACTTTGACCATCATTGGGATTCCTTTCTCTTTAAGGACCTCTTTCATCGCCTTTCTGCAATGTTTTGCAAGTTTGGACGCTATTTAGCGGTTGCCTATAGCTCGCGCAATTCAGCGGCTTCTCAGCTGGAGTGTTTTTGAAGACAGATGTCGCCTGTTCACTTTCGAACTCTCAGCTTTCATACCGCTAATGTGAAGATGTTGAATGAGCCAATCGTATTCTTTGTCGTTATTATCAAAAACAACACCACAACAACCCACTAGTGAATTGAATAAATCCCAGTTTAAGGTGGTTTTGGGACTTTATTTTTTGAACTTCGTGGGTTTCTCTCCTTTCTGCGACAAATGAAACCTTGCATGAAGGAGGTGATGCTAAGATCTCGTGCAGAATTTTGGGACAACAGCAACATCGGTTAGGTAAAACCTTCGGTTTACTACGATATGGTCAATTTCCTTGACCTCCACTGGGAGGCTCCCACGTCCAGCGTTGAGTAGAGCTTCCGAAATTGCGACTTACCATGAATGGTCTTGGTCGTCGTGATAAACTCAGATGCAAGCGAGTGTGCTTTGTAGGTATTGTCACCATAGTCTACCGAGATTTATTAAGCAGCCTAGAATGGTCCTGATATTTCAACAGCCTTTCCGTATCCGCCGTGCGCAACGCTGCCATGTCAGGGCTCTTTCGGGACCATAGAAATGAGGCCCGCTCATCTTACTGTGTTTAGCGTCTGATATCCACGTAAAGAATGCTGAGTTGTGGCCATGGGAAGTGGATATACTCAAGGATAGATTGCCAGTCTCTCACACAGTAGATGGCGAGGATATTTGTTAGAGGTGACTGGTGACAGCCTTTTATGTACTTCCCAATCACTTCATTTCACGCTTTTGGCCGAATAAGCCCATAGAATAGAGTCTGCATAGACGACAACACACCCACACACGCACGTATATGTCTTCCCAGATACATGAAACAAGTGCAAAATAGGCGCAGCGGAAACACAGAGTCCATTCTTGGATGCAACTGTGTCTTACGAAAGCGTAAGATCGCTTTTGGTTAACGATTAATCACTCATCCGCCGCTTGTAGACCGCCAGCTCGCCTCGCAACTAACCGGCATGAGATCCCTCTATCAGGGAGATCCGTGGTACTTTTTAGCAGAGTCGAATAAATTTTATTTGAATCATATGTGAACAGATCTTGACTTCAATGCTCGAGAACCATGCGCCTTTGTCTCATTCCTTCAAAACACCCTATAGATGGTGTGAATGTGAGGTTGTGACGGCTGAAAGCTTCATTTCCTGAGCCACTCGCGACTAGGAGCTGATACTACTAATGCAAGCTACGAAGTTCGCCTCTTTTCGTGAGTACCTTTTCGAGGACTTATGCATTCTCTCAGGGAATACATTGTCGATCTTTTGGTCTACTTGTCAATGTCTATGCTTTATTTATCTCCTTTAGAGCAAACAATGAAGGAAGGACACCCAAACAAAAGTACTTAAGTGGGAATACATACGATATGGGAGTAGATAACTTCTCACGGCACGAAACGAAACAAATTTTCTTTCTAGGATAAATCAGATTTCAAATGGTACATTATCTCCCCCTCCCAACGGTTCACCGCTTCATTGTGGTTGGGAAGTGTTCTTGGATGTCTGCGGCTGCGATGTACAGCGGGAGGACTCATCATCAGTAGGGCCTTCCAAGGTGAGGAGACCGGCGTTTCCATCAAGGAGCCCAGCTAAAAGTAAATCAATACCAGGATTCACCACCGTCCTGGCATCAAACTAGTCGCATGGTGGCAAATCTCCCTCTGATCAACAAGGGCGGCGACAGCCTGTGGTGGTGAATACCCGAAGCAGACTTTGGCAAAGCTGATCTCAGGACACCAGAGAAACACAATGGCCAAACCAGCAAAGCTCTGAAAAATGAAGAAGGTGCGGCGGCCCGCGCAACCGATAAAGATGGACCGTCCAAACATTTAAGTACGTACATTATCACCACTCTGATAAACTAGTAGCAACAAAGACTACAATATATCAGAAAATCAATAAAACCACAATCATTGCCGCACACCAAAGAAAAAAAATGATGAGAAAAAACAGTGCCAATGTATCGACACCACGTATCCGAGTGGCAGACGGAATTCGACCCGTTTTCCCAGTCCATAGAAAGTGCGCTGCAATCACACTCGCTTACGCGTCTGCAGCACGCTCGCGTCCAACGAAAGTCATGAGTCGATGCTGCAGACATCGTCGTGGACACTCGAAGGAGCATTAGTAGATTATTCGTTGTTTTCTGCTTTAGCTCAGCTGTACTGGTGTTTTTCGAGTGTAGTCTGGTCTCGGATTTTTTCCAGGATCTTCCTCCTGACCGATGTATTCATGGAAGTGTTAGTTTAAAAGTGTTCCAAACCAATCCATCACTCCATTTATTCCAGATGGATTTTCAGTCTTCGCATTGTTTCATTGGTGATTGATTGTTTCTATTTTCTATTCATGCTTTAACTACTACTTTACTAAATACCTACGCGAATCGTTCGTCGCTTTTCTTATATGTGAAAGGAAATCGGTAATATTGTTAATGATAGAGACCGTAATTGTTTCGCAATCTTAGACAGTAATGGGTGATATGGAAGATTCTATTAAACTTGACGATGACGACTTTCTTAGCACCACTGGGAATAGCGTCGCCGATATGGCTGTGAGTTCTTGCGTCCTGCCTAGCTTTCAACTATTTTGGTTAGGCTGATGCTGTATTGCAGGAATTGTCGTCAATAGAACAGCAAATGGAGGAGTTCGAGGAGGAACAAAGAAAGATTAAGCAGATGCAAAGTGATATCGAGGTCTGTTTCGGTAAAGTAGTGGTTTATGTCTTCTTTGTTGAACTCGATCTCTCTAAAGCCTTCTGTTTCAGGGTCAAATGAATCTTCCGAGAAGTAGCAATGGTACAAACAGTCCTCTAATTCTTTCTCCTGAGGAAAAAGCGGAAGCTGATTCCCGTTCAGTGTACATTGGGAATGTTAGTGAGAACTTCAATAGTCCTAGAATCTTTTATTAGGAATCGGTAGTTAACATCTGATGAAGCGTTTTTAATGAGCACCGTTTAGGTCGACTACAGTGTAACCGCTGAGGAATTAGAAAAGCATTTTCACGGGTGCGGTTCAGTTGCACGAGTTACGATTCTGTGCGATAAGTATACTGGTCATCCAAAAGGGTTCGTTCAGTTTTGTAACGAAGTGCATCCTTTAACCCTTCGTTGTTACGAGATTGAAAGTTCGTAAATGAAATCATACGATGAAGCAGTTGAAGTCAGTGCTTAACTTTTGAGCAGACGCATGGTTGTCAGTAACCAATGTTGTTCAATACGATACTGGCTGACATTTAGGCGGTTTAGGTTGCATCAGAGCTTGGAGCGGTTAAGCTGACATGTAATCCACTCAGCGAAACACTTTCATAACCGCAGCAGATGAAACTTAAAGCATAAATTTCATTAGCATAGTAAACAACTTCTTTTATACATTCGCAGTTTCATTCTTTGTAATTCGTCCAGTTTTTCCTGTGAATCAACCGCACAGAGTCTTGGATGGGTGGGAAGTGTACCTGACCCAGGTAAAAAATGCAGCTGAGTTTATGAATGTTTCTTCTTGGTAGTTACAACATGTCTAACTGACAAGGCAATCGTTCGAAATCAAATATCTCAAGTTGTCATATACAGTACAGTGTGTCGTAAGCAAATAACCATGCAACGCTGTCTTTTGGCGAAACGTAACATTGGTCCACTGCTTAGAGGCCTCTCTAGCCTGATTTTAACTTTGTAGATGTTCGATGAGCACGTAATCAGTGGTTCTTATGATTTTAATGGTCTATTCACTGTTTGTAACACACTTCTTTCGAGTGCAAATTTCTGTTACAACCACATTGCCTAGATGCTTTACTTCTTAACCATTTTCTTTTTTATTGTTGAATGTGGCATACTTCTTCCCCGTTCACTTAGCTGTTTTTTTTCTCAGATTCGCCTATGCGGAATTTGCAGATAAAGAGGGAATGCAGATGGCTCTAGCTATGTCAGACAGTCTCCTAAAAGGACGGCAAATAAAGGTTTTCAGCAGTCTTCCTGCTTCCTTCTTTTACTACGAAAAGGAAGAAACTCGTATTTAGGTTATGGAGAAGCGCACCAATCGCCCTGGTATCTCAACGACGAATCGTCCACCACGTGGGCGCGGTTACCGTGGACGAGGTGGCTTCGGAGGAGCTCCTCCGGGATATATTATCAAATACGTACCTGTAGGTGGATATCGCCCTCGCGGAGCGCGTGGTCTTCGGTAAGCTTTCAGCATCTCATCGCTCAACAACATTGGATGTCGTTTGTTATTCTGTTAAAAGTAACATGTTTTCGGAAATTTAGACGTCCTCGCGGCTTCCATCCTTACACGTGAGTGGATCCCGCCAGCCTCTGTTTCATGTTCTATGTGTTGCAGATTCAATGCAATACATTTTCCTTTTTTTGTACCATGATCAATGTTGACATGCTGTAATTTATTGATGGTTCTTTTCAATTTTGCTTTGGACTTGTAGAGAGTCGTAAAAAGAATCCTTATTGGTTGATGTTATTCTTGCTTATGATTTTTTTCATAGTACGATTCTTACACGCTTCTATAACCCTGTATTCGTCATTATTGCTTCGTTTCGATTTTGCAGGTCGGGATGTGATGTAACCTCATCTGAGGCGCCGCCAGAACCCATGTAGACCCATACAAAGTTATTTCATCTTCATCTACAACATTTCCTACAATTTCGTAAGATGCCCAAGATGATGTTGTGTCGAAGTGAAGTTATTTGTTATGTAGTTCGCGAGTGTTTCTACTGCTACTTGCTTGTCTTTGTTACTTCTGTTCTTAGAAAGTAAAAGATAATATGATTGTTGTAGGAGGGAAAGGGTGACTGGGACTGTCAGCGCCGCCTGATCGTCGTGGTTGCGAGTATGCATGTATATGCCGTGTTGCTGCTAGGGCATGTCTATCGTATTCGCTTTTTGGTCGTCCTCTTTTGGTTCTGAGTGGTCACGTCCAGTATGTCGGCAAAGATATTCGTGCATATTCTTTTGATCTAGTTCTGTTGTTATTGGAAAATGAATTATCGGAAGAGATCTTGTGTATCCACCAATAACGATTGGGATGTCTCAATATTTTGAACATAAACAGCCTCATTACACTTTCTATGTGGTTTATTTTTATCTGAGGTAGGTATTTAGATCCAGTGGGCTGAATTTGTGAGGAACTCGATGGAAAATAATCATAAGTATGCTAGTAGAGAATACTGGGATGAGCGATTCACAGAGGAGGGAAGTTTCGAGTGGCTTGTTGAGTTTGATGCTTTCAAGCATTTGGTACTGCCGAAACTAAAATGGTCATCAAGGTCAGTTTTTGGGTCTGATATTTCCATAGGTTTTTGAACCGCAGCAGTTCTACTGGATGAAAAGTGATGCTCGAAGAATCGTATTCTCAATAAGAGCGCGCACTACTTATGCCGGTTATGAATGCGTTGGACGCGTAATGCGCCTGTAGCGCAATGTTTGGAGTGGTTTTACAAGCACAATGCTTATAAAGAAAGGATTGGTTTTACGATTTCTTTTATTTTCATATCATCCTATTAATACTCCTAATAGTTTACCGCCTCATCGTGGATGGGAAGTGTTCCTGGGTGTAGGCTTGCGATGTACAGCTGTGGGATTCATCCCCACTGCAGGGTCTCCTAAGCTGTGAATGAGTCCGGCGTTTGCATGAGGAAGCTCAGTCAAGAGTAAACCATTGTAAGGATCGACCACCATCCTGGTATCAAACTAATATCTCCGCGACGGCAAATCTTCCACTAATCCACAAGGGCGGCAATTGCTTGTGGTGGTGACGATTTGAGGCGGATTTTGGCTAGGCTGACCTCGTGGCTACGGGGAATCAACGTTGATAAATCCAAAATAATGGGAATTATGATGGAGCCCACACAACTAGTGAAGACAGGCTATCCAAGTATCTAAGTTAGTTTACTAATCAATGCCTTTGTTGTAGACGATCTTTTTAAGAATGCACTTGGAATAGTTTATATACGTTATCGTACTTTCTGTTAGCGAAGAATAAGATTTCAGGTATAGTGCAAGATTTGGTCATTTTGGTTTAGTCACGAAGCTGTTGTGCTCAATTCTGGAAAATCTCTGTGCATCAATGTACCTCTATCAGGACGTGTTTAGAATACTTCATGTTGGTTGTGGTACAAGTCAGATGTCTATGCAATTGTATAGAATGGGCTACAAGAATATTACGAATGTGGATTTTTCAAAGGTAACTTGTTTAATGAAGGAACGGCTATTGATGTGTAGACATATAAATGATTTTGAGTCAAATAGGAAACAGTTTGCTTCACAAATATTCCTTAGTTTTGCTTTTGTGAGCCTGCAAAGATCCTCATATCTTTTCAGGTCTCCATGACCACAACTGATAGTAAAAATACTATTATCAGTAGCCATAACTATTGTGGACATTTCTCCATTCAGAATGGAATAATTTCTTCACTAGGTCGTTGTAGACAATGGACGTACTCTTCATCCGGAAATGAAATGGATATGTGAGGATATTCGATCGTTAGCCAGTATCCCTTCAGATGCTTTTGACGTAGTGCTAGAAAAGGCTACAATAGAATCGATGCTTGTTGGGGAAAAGGTATGCACTGATAGCGTTAAAATAGCTGTAGTTTCACGGCTTTAGTATATTTTAGAGTGCCTGGAATCCATCCGATAATGCCTTGCGTATTGTTGATGACGTGCTCAAATCCGTTGCCAGAGTTCTAACAAGCGATGGTATGAACTGCTGTAATTCAGATGAAGGCAACGTTGTAGAAAAGGATTTTGCAGGGATCTTCGTTTCCGTGTCGTTCACGCAGCCCCATTTTCGTGTACCAGCTTTTTTACGCTTTCCAGGATGGTCCATATCAGTGAATAAAATCGGAGAGTTTTTCCATTATTTCGTTTATATTATGCAATGTGGTAGAGAAACTTCTCAGGATGTACGGAAGCGATTTGCCAATATCGCTCCGGACTGGTGTAGGGTACTGAGGTAATTGAGTGAATTGTGATGCTGACTTCCAAGCCTTCGTTGTATTGGTTTTTTGTTTACGAAAAGCTTGTCTTAATAATGAAGTCGAGTTCTAACTGCATGTCGACCGATTTTTCAGCCCATGATCTTGTTTCAGAATTGTTTACTTTATACCATTTCGTATTGAAATAAATTACCATGCTGTTTTATTTTCTTGCAATATCGTGACATAATGATTGTCATCACTGAGAATTGAATACCTTTATGGTTATACTACCTACTTGGATATTTGGATGGCCGTCTTCACTGGTTCTGTGGGCCCCAACATGATTTCCACTTTTTCGGAGTTTTACCGGTTCAGCCACTGTGGTTCAGTGAAGTGCCGAGGTCAGACTAGCCAAGGTCTGGCCCAGGCCGACACCAGCACAGGCCGTCGCCGCCATTATGATTGCTACTCACAGTTAAGTTAAGAATATCACGAGAAATCATGCATCAAATTATTCACATTGTGACAAATCTCGCTCTGATCAGCCAAGGATGCTGCATGATTTCTCGTGATATTCTTCAAGCCTTGGCTGATCAGAGCGAGATTTGTCACAATGTGAGTAGTTTGATACCAGGACGGTGGTGGATCCTGGTATTGGTTTACTCTCAGTTGGATTTCCTAATAGAAACGCCGGACTCATTCTCAGCTTGGGAGACCCTATTGGTGGGATGAATCACCTCGCTGTACATCGCAGCTCGACACCCGGGAACATCTCCCAACCACGATGAGGCGGTAAATCGTTGGAAGATTTATGGTTATGGCGCGGAGTATTTTAAACTGTGAACGAAACTAAAGACGTGGAAGGTGCTACTAGGACTATGCTCTATATCCCGTTCCATTCCACGCTTCCTATACTGGAGATAGTTCAGAACTGAATAGAATAATCGAGTAGCTGACTGTGCGCTAAACATTCCGATATATCTGTAACGAAATTTGTTATGGCAGTTCATGAAAGTGTTGGGTGTCCTTGAATGGACGATTTCTGCAGAAGATTTTTGTGGACGCAGTGCTTTCTTCCACTTTTGTTCACCTTTCCATTATCTTGTCTTCATTTCCGTGCCACTTTTCGGCTATGCTGCATGATTTCTCGTGATATTCTTAACTCATTAGGCATGGTGCGCATTCAAGGCTTGGCTGAATCGACCTGTAGAATACAAGAGACAAGTACGCGGACACAGCAACGTACGCCTGCGTGACTGTGTCTACGTAAATGCAGAAGCTCTGTGCCGGATGGACTCAGCAAATGAAGGAGGCCATACCGTGGACCCGCCTGCCTCTTCAGATGCATGGAATGGTCGCTGGTCCGCGATTAACCCCTTATCCACCACCTACGGACACTTAAGAAACATGGGGTCGGTTCTAGTATTCGCACGTTCGGCTCCCATTCTCATATGTTTGCAAGGGGTTTAACGCTGCATCTCCTTCATTTTATGGCGCTGTGATTATCCAGATTCTAGAATCCATGCAGTCGATAGAGTTTGTAAACTGATCCCAGACTGTTCTGATTGGAACTTTCGGGTTTTTACTGGTCTTTCTATCATGGATATCCTTAAGTGTTGAGATTTTTGTGCATTTTATATGTGCATTTTTAAATCTAACTGGCTTTTCCACCAGTTTTTCAAGTACATTTTCTATCCTTTTGTGTCCGATTTAACTCGGGAGAACCTTCAACAAGTTGCAAAATAAAAGTTTCGTCTTTGAGATTTGCTTTATGGCTGGTTATTTACCAGCTTGTGTTATCGACAATGGGACCGGATACACGAAATTGGGTTACGCCGGTAACTGCGAACCCCAGTTCATCATACCTTCAGGTGTGTGTTAATCGTATTTACTATTCCTACTGTTACTTTTAAAGCTCTTTAAAAGACCACTTTCAGCAATAGCCGTTAAGGACAAAGTGTCAAGTTCGAATGCTGCTGCTCTTCGTTGGAACACCTCGACAGGAGGTCGAATAGATGATCTTGATTTTTTCATCGGCGATGAGGCGCTATCTCCTGGTGCTGCAAATTATTCCGCTAAGGTTCTTTTTGGCCTTCAGTTCTTCTTCGATTTAACTTTATTATAGCGTTTATTAAGTATCCAATCCGTCATGGTATCGTAGAGGATTGGGATTTAATGGAGCGGTTTTGGGAACAATGCATTTTCAAGTATTTGAGGGCTGAGCCCGAAGATCACTTCTTTCTGTTGGTTTGTAAATTTCGTTTTTCAGTGGTCCGTTTTTCGACTTCCTGTTCCTTTTTTTTTTTTGATAGAATCTCGCATATTTTAGACCGAGCCTCCCCTTAATACCCCAGAAAATCGCGAATATACAGCAGAAATAATGTTTGAATCCTTTAATGTGCCAGGTATGAGTTTTTTGTCTATTCCGTTATCCATTATTGTGGTCCGTAGCACATCAAGTGGGTTGACGATTAAGGTCTTTACATTGCTGTGCAAGCTGTACTTGCTCTAGCTGCAAGTTGGCCGTCACGTCAGGGCAAAGGACGTCCACTCACTGGATTGGTGACATATTCCATTTTGCTATTGCTTGTTTCTCAAAACTAGGCTGTTTTAGAACGGCTTCCATAGTCCTAACGGAAATGTTGTATTTCCAACAGGTTGTGGATTCTGGGGATGGTGTAACTCACTGCATACCAGTCGCTGAGGGCTACGTCATCGGATCCTGCATCAAACACATTCCGATCGCTGGAAGAGATATTACATACTTTATCCAGCAAATTTTGAGAGATAGGGAACCATCCATCCCTTCAGACCAATCTTATGAAGTTGCAAAGGCGATAAAGGTGTGTTTTCTGTGATACCTTATATCTGTTATGTTGAGGAATTTATTCATTAACTTTATACTTTTTGCAGCATAATTCTTTCCAGGAAAGACATTGCTACGTTTGTCCGGACATTCTAAAAGAGTTCATAAAATATGATACCGATGGTGCGAAATGGTTGAAAACTTATCACGGCATTAACAATATTACAAAGAAGGAATTCGTTGTTGATGTTGGGTACGAGCGCTTTCTCGGCCCTGAAATTTTCTTTCATCCTGAGGTATGACGCGTCCACTCTATATTCTGGGTTGTCCCTTAACAACTTCAGTAAAAATTGGGGTGTTCTGTATACTTGCAGTCTTTGCACATTTTTGAATTTTCCTTTAGTCTCTATCGGCATGTTGTCTCATCATTGTATCCATTCCAGTTTGCCAATTCCGACTTTACAACTCCGATTTCTGAGATCATTGACACAGTCATCCAGCAATGCCCGATAGATGTCCGTAGAGGCTTATACGAAAATATTGTTCTTTCTGGAGGATCCACAATGTTCAAGGTATTGCAATCTATATATTTGAGAAAATACTGAGTCATACTTTTTTTACGTCCTGAAAGTAGCGGCGACAGTTTTTGTCATTCGATCAATGCTCCCTTCCATATGCACTTTGTCCATTGCCAAATGTAATGGTTGTCTACAGGGGAATGGTATATTGCAGGATTTCGCTCGTAGGCTTCACCGAGATATCAAACGTATCAGCGAAAACAGGCTTGCGGCAAGCGAAGCATTAAGTGGTGGCCAACTAAAGGTAAGGTTTTGTATTTTTCGTACAGTACTTTTTTCAGAAAGTTCACAGAAATAGCATTTTTGTGTTCAAGCCGAAACCGATCGAAGTTCAAGTGATATCTCACAAAATGCAGCGATATGCGGTGTGGTTTGGAGGTTCGATGTTGGCATCAACGGTCTGTATTAATTTTGCTTTTTAAAAGTTAATTCAATAGTATGAGCATTACTTCTGTGGTCTATTTTGTTATGCCCACTAACTTTACGATTTCCACGACAAAAAAAGAAGCTCTCGGCGTTAATCCATCCCTGAGGGATGCGCCATGCATTCGACTTCATCAAGCATCGTTTAGAGGTGATTGGATGCACATCCGGCCTTTACAATTACTCGCGTTGGCTTACCGATCTATCGAGCCAATGCTGCTATCCTCCCTGACAAGTTTAGTACCAATTTTCCGACCCCGGAGGGACAGAAGGCTTGGTGGGTGAGGGCCTCGGGAATCGGTCCCATGCGTACTGCAAGGCGCCTCCGACCACTGCGCCATACGCGCCCTATTTCCAAAATAGTTAGCAACTGAAATGTATTAAAGTGGTCGTGGATATTAGTGTAGTGTTAGTCATAAAGCAAATCACTTAAGCGCTCTGTATTCTTCTCTTCCACCTAATTACTCGTATACCAATTAAAGTCTCCTCAATTCCCTCTCACGCATTAGGACTTTTATGTATGCTGTGATCGCTCGGTTGAAGCGTATAGGCTAACAGTTGTTTTTCCAGGAACGACTTCTTGGTACCCTTAGCATTGATCATTATTTTTGTGTTTTTTTGGTGAGCAGACACGTGCTTATGAAAGCAAAAGTTTTTGTACAGTGGCTATGTTTTCGGCAAATCTCGCTTTTTTAGAGCCTAGAAAGGTTAAACTGATACTCAGTCTGCACAGACAAGTATTTCAAGACAATCTGCACAGACAGTAACCTTGACATAAGAGGTCAAAACCTTAAATTTCACCCAGTGGTAAGAGAATTTCCAAACGACCTCCATTTTTCTATAATTCGTTCAATTACTAATGTACACCAACCTTAGACAGTTTGGATGGATGGCGAATTTGCCTCCTTCAGTTAATGTGGGTTTGGAATAATCCGAAGAGAGACAACAGGGAGCAGCGTCTTCTAATCACGATCGCAGAAACATCCTCCTAGTCATCCACGGTCAGCTGCGAACAACACTTGTGGGGTAAAGTAGGTAATGTTAGAGAAAACATGATAATAAATAATGTATATTGTTAGTCGTAAGTGGCTTAACTTTTGACAAACAAATTTGCCAAGAGCCTGGGACGAGTAACTTAATGACTAGTTGCTAAATGAGCGTTTACACTTTTATTATATGAATTACCACTACAATCAGTAATCGATTTCTCAATCTCCTCATGTCTTCTTGCACTAGATTAAAGTATTCAGACTAAAAGAGTTAACCTACACAGAAATCTTTTGGCCTGCAAGGTTAAAATAAAGTGGCTAATCACACTGAGAAACCCCTAATGCGGAAACGTTTGGAGAACAAGTATAGGAATGGTAGTAAAATTTCAGACACATAACATACCTTAGGGATGCAGGTAACGTTGTGGTTCGAGTTGTACTGCAACATTCAGTAGATCGGTCTTTGCTTGATCGCGGTCCCGAGCTTAGGAAACTTTGTTTTCCTCCGGGATTGACAAATTAGCACCAGGTTTGTCTGAAAAGATGAGAACACCACCTGGTACCTTGCTATTCAGCGTGAATTATTGTGGTAGGCCAGGTATGCATTCAGTCACATCTTCGATGACGAAGTCAAATGCATAGTGCATTCCATCAGCGATCGATCAGCGCCGAACGCGTTAAATGGTGAGAAAAGAGACAAGTTGTTAACGAAGTGTAGTGAAATAAATGTTAAGTGAGAAATTTAAAGATCCGTTAAAATCGTTCGTTCCTACATACTCTGTGAAAAAGTCCGTTATTTTTCAGCCTGAATTTTACAAAGTGTCACACACAAAGGAGGAGTATATGGAGAAAGGTCCGTCTATTTGTCGTCATAATCCTGTGTTTGGAACAATGACATAATTTCATTGCACTTCGTTCCTTTTTACTTCTAATTTATATGTTTGCTTCTGTTTAAGTACATCTTCATTAAACTTCCCCATTGTGATTTAAAGTGGTATTTTTACAGTTGCCCGTCTCCCATGCTTTGTTTCACCCTCTACAATGTTTGAAAGTTTTAATAAATGCTCCTCTATTAGTGCGAGTCCGTTTAAATAAGTATAAGTTATTTGTGCTTGTTTATCTGAGTGAAATCTAAATTGTTTTATCCTCGAGACAAGTACTGTAGGCTGAGAAATGGATCTTCAAATAGTGAATTATGCAAAGGAGGAATATATCGAAACTAGTTCGGGTAACAAGATATGTAAGACTCACTCGAGCAAGGACAGCACTATCTGTGGAACACAAAACATTATTCTAAATGGAAAGGTCAGGTTTGTATTCACATAAGAGTCGCATTATTTCGCTTACAATGGTGGTTCTTCATGGTTAGATGCCTTACGATGAGACCAACGCACAGAGTTTGAGAAGAGTTAAAGGCTTTTTGTAGCCTAGAGGCCGTTTTTCGTAAATAAATTTTGGTTTTGGAGATCTCTGCATTATCTTTTAATACATAGTGCTCGATGGGGGTATTTTTTGGCAACTTTTAATTTCTCGATAATTAAAGTGTTTAAAGAGCTGAGAACGTTACGTATTTGCATAGGAGACTTTACTTTGAGATCTTGATCGTGTACGTAATTTTCACAGGATTTCATTTCGGTTGTAGAACTCAGCTGGCTTAGAATTTCCAGAAGATTTAAAATTTTGAGAAACTGATGTTTCTGAAAAACCCAAAGCGCTGGAACTGCAAGTAGCCACACCGGGCAACACTGTTGGGTCCTACTGTGCTAAATCGCTTTCGTGCTAAGAAAAGCTAAACTTGACTAATAAGGATAAAGAGTAGATTTTATTGACTGTAGAAGATCCGAATTCCGTCCTGGTTGGAGAGGAAGACTTGCGTTTTTTTTGAAAAGAATTGTAAATTCTAATGGTTTCATCTCATGTAAAGTTAGTTAGGTTAAATATAGTCTTAGTTATGTAGGTTTAAATGTGAGCCATCATTTTTCTAACAATCTTGCAGATGTAAATCAATGCCTACGTTACTTATTAACACAGTATCGTTGTTGACAATTAATTGAAACTTATGTTAGTTGCTTATAATGGCAGCAGTTTACACTGCTTACCCCTAAGAGGGAAGTACATCGATACTGAATATCAAAGTGTTTAGACCGACAATTTTATTGAAGTAGGATGTGTGGTTTTAGAACATCATTCAAAGAGATGTGACCATTCGAGGTGATCTGGCTGCAATTCGAAGTGGGAGATTTTGTATCATATGTAGTGGGACACTAATCCGACCGAGCTCGAAGAAGTTCAGCAAAGGTGTGACGCTGTTCCCTGTTCACATTGGGGATCACGTTATGATTGAAGAGGTGAGATCGGCATATTGACGTTAAAGATAGGACTGTGAAGACCGTTGGTTTGGAGTGCTTTTGGATTTCGTGTTACTGTTGAAATCATGCAGATTTTCGAGTGCGACCAGTAGCACCATTCAGCAATACTGTTAGCTTTGTAGATTAGCTAAATTGAAATTTGTTTTTAATGCCAGAAATTATAATACTTACAAGTATTAACTAGGTGTTTATTGACATCGAGGAAGAAGTGATTATAAAAAACTGGTTGCATTTCCTATAGATCTTCATCTCCATTTGAATAGTATTTTTAGAAGACTTCGTCTAACACATGCGACATAAGTCAGAGTTAATCATTACGATTTCGCGCCAGCAAGTCCTCAAATGTAATGGATATCAACGTACATTCTTTTCGTAATAAACTTTGTTTGATCTTAATATGAAGTTATGTCTTTGTCTTGCTGGCGGAGTCACTACACGCTGTCAATTAGTGCGAGTAATCACCGGGAAAGACAGCGGAGCGCAATTTGTTCTTTCTGGAAGAAGTAGGCATAACGAAACCATCTCAGTGATACAAAGGAGAAGCTTTGTTTCATTATTAGTAGTCTACAGTTCTTCTTTACCGTTTTCTGATCATAAAAATGATAGAAAATACCGTTTTTCCACGCCATTTCCACGATTTACTTTCCATCAGATCAACAGTTACTCCTTATCCTGTATCAGTTCGATTACTTCTCTCGATAGTCATTCTCATCCTAATCATACCGATAAAATTGGTCTTTTTCTGATTCGACTTTAGAAGTAAGTCACAATGAAGATCCGAATATGTCCGCACCTTCGTTTTCCTCTCCTAATCGTCAGTTTCCTAGTCACTTTTAAAGAAAAAATTTCTGAAACTCGTTTGAAAATTATCCTCTGTGTGTGGAATTAACGATAAAGAAAAAAGAATAAAAACCGGAATACAAAGTACTCAGAAAACACATTTCGGAACCACGTGAATAGAAACGTAAGTGCCATCGAAGCTTATTTGTTAAATGTCGGTTGTGGTGCTCATGCCATAGTACGAGAAACAACCTCGATGCATTTAAGGATTGTGTCATAAGTGCTGCTCAAATATGTTCGTTCGTACACATCGGCGCCGGATCCGTGATTGGGGGGAGCGCAGTGCTGAAGGAATGCTGCAGAGTACTTCCTGGCAGTGTCGTTGCAGCAGATTCTGTTTTTCCACCCTATAGTACCATTGCTGGTAACCCAGGTATGAATTTACTAGGCCAACTGAAATAGAAAGGAACCATTTCTTTTAGACGTTTTGAAAGCTCTTTAATATTTTAGAGTTCCCACCGTTATTTGGCTTTATCGAGTTTAAGACTTTATATTTTCTATCAAGCCCATATTTGCTAGTTAGCGCGATGACGCTACTTGTATACTTCGTCGTAGCAGTACAGATTATGGTTACGTCACCTATTTCAGCACGTATAATCGGTCAGGAACCTGAATGCACTGAAGACTTGATGACAGAAGCAACGAAACAGTACTACGACAATTTCCTGCCCTACAATCTTCCAAAACCCTCTTTCGCTTAACATATGTTTATAAAACTGTATATGAATTTCCCATTAAACAGTATACTTAGCCCTTATATAATAATTTCAAGTGCAGGAATGAGTCTCAATAAACTTAGGCCTAAGCATCGCTCCGAATGAAATAAAATCCGTATAAAATACTATCTTAAAACCGGGATTTCAGCTGGGCATCGAAACCGTGAATACCCTACGAATTTGGAACAAAAAAAAGAGAAGAAATAGGGAAAGTCACGGCAATCCTTGAGTTGGGAAACATTGAAGAATACGTACTGAGTTCCGTTGTTTTGTGTAAATAAGTCATAGTGCCATATGCCCGCTAGTGAAGCTTAAGCCTAGTAGCGATTTTACTATTCTCAGAAAGGTATCACACTATGTCTATATATAGTATATTGGTCGTTATACAATAACGTCTCACCATTCCATTTATATTGCGATCAGGGAAAGTCTATTTATTCCGTGCTTGGTCGGACAACCATGAAACACTCATAAAGAAGTGCTAGAAGAGACTTATTGATGCTTTACAGAATTGATGAACACAATACGGAACCAAAGCGTTGAGCAAAATACTAATGAGGTCCCAAAAAAAAAAGAAAAAAAAAATTAGATTACACTAGGAATTACGGTACAATTAAATCTTGACACAATTTATGGACTCTTCTTTTGACGGCGTCTGTAACACGGACCATTGAGTCAGCATATTTCTGAATGGATAGAAAGAAGTTTGAGTTCAAGCCCTTTGAGTTCAAGCACTGTTTTCGTATTTCTAAAAAAGTTGGCGAAAGAAGGAGGACACAAGACTTCTTATCTTATTTCAACTTACTTCAGGTATTTGTGCTGCTAAGGCTTCTGCCTCCATCAGTTGCTCCAGAATTTTAGCTATGTGGCTTGAGTGCAGACGTAGATCAATCTCATCTACTGCTTTTTTAAGGTATCTCTTACGCGTAGTGATTGGTACAGCCTAAATTCTTTTCTCAGGGATAACTATTGAACAAAGTATATATTTTACCTGGTTTTCCATAGGGTCGTCATAATGTTGTATAGCTAACACGAACTCACCAATTTGGCTATTAAAAAATCTGAATAGTTCATGTAGTTTTAACTCTTTTATTTACTGCCTTTTTTTTTCTTCTTAATGGCAGGGTATGTTGCGAAATATAACTCGTATGAAATGCTGAGATATATAGAGATAGACCCGGATGGTGTAGTGGTGAAGTGCACTGCTCCCCGGTAAGGACAACAGCGCGTGTTCGTTCCCCACTGCATACACCTGTGGTCCGGAGTTTTGCAAATATCTCAGCATTTCACACGAGTTATAGTTCATGTAGTGTTTGAAATAAGAGGTGACCATACTTGATAAGTAGGACATTAATAACGCTATACCGTTGAAGTTGTAGTTGACGCATGGAGCGACTCTTTGCCAGATCATTCAGCTCTGCTTTTATGCACTGTTTGATAGCAACGAACAATTGCCTATACTGCGGCTGAAACATTTTGCAAGAAACAAAGCTGTTTTGGAATCTGCCGAACAGTCCGCCAAAATGAACAGAACGCAAACCATGGACTTGAACTTATCAAGGGCTGCTGCCTGCTCTCCAAACGCTGTGGCTGTAATTTTATTCCTGTGGATAGCGTCGAAATTAAACAAGTTGATCATTTCCGACAAGTAGAATTGCCACTGATTCATCAGATCAGAGACTTGTGATTGACATCTGTTCTGAAAAATACGTTTGTAAAGAGATGTCACATGGTCAGTTTTGAAAATGGATACGCTACAGTTGGAAGCGTTATACTGACTATACACTGCTGAACAGAACCGACCGTCGTTCTGCCTAAATCGGAGCCACCAACGAACGCACTATACAGACGATTAAATGCTTCTTCGCATGATTCGCTTGTTGTCGAGACGGCCACAATGTCTTGCTCACTGTAAAGTATAGAACGTGATAGGTAGTAATGATATTTACTTGGTACTTAAAGCTGCTTAGGTTACTTGAATTAGAAAGTGGAAGAAAAAACTTGCAAGGACGAATTCGGCCGTGATGGTCCAGGTGTTGCATCTTCCAAATCTAAATTTTCGCACTACTAGACGGTACTCATTTATGGTAACTAAGTTTTCCTGTCATGATTGCTGCAGTAGTGATAGCGTTGCTCCGCTAATAAATCTAAAGTCTGAAAGTTCGAGAAACTTCACGAGATAAAGTTCTCATAAGTAAGTAAAGAATCGAAAGGAATGGGTGAGTAGTATGTGCCGTCTGTCACCTCATTGATCTTCGAGGTATGGAAGTTAATTATACGAGATATTAGCTAATCTATAAAATCAATCACTTGTTTTAATCGAAGAAAAACGCAATCAATGGTTCTTAGATGTAACATAAACAAGAGGCAAAAAATGAAATTCTGAAATAAACTCCATATTAACGAGTGTTTTTCAGTTCACCTTGGTAAGCAGTTTGCATTGGTGAAAGCCCTGTATTACTGACAGCGTCACCTCTACTATCACTTCGCTGAAAAACTGAACCAATAAACCCAACCAGAAGTGGAAAAACCTTAAGATCAGCTTAGAAAATTGTGCGACAAACCTTTCGTAAATGCCGTTGTAAACGGCTTTCCTTGATGACGTCATGAATCTCCTCTGAAACCGCTGTAATATAGGACACCAATAAGTGACATACGTAAAAAGTCCAAACTAATGCGTATAATACAAAAGGTGAAACGAAGATTCCCAATAACAGAATTCATTGTAAATACCGTATTGTTATGTGGAGAAAGCTACTTGCGAATCGATGAAAATCGTGAAAGAAAGCGAAGAAAATTGTGAACATACGAGTGAAATTGAGGGAAGGCCGTTTCAAAGGCGATGAAGTCAGATCCAATACCCCATTAGGCACATTTTCGTCACTAACACTTCCACCAGTCGTAGACGTCGGTGATAAAGCGCAATCTAAAGAGGAAGAATTGATTTCTTAACTCCTTTTAAGCACTAGTTGACGAATAAAAAAGTGTAACCACCCTAAATTGCTCACATTGTGCAACGTTTCGCTCCACTTTCTTAAATGTGCTCAACGTTCCGGAATTATTAAGTGTGATCTCAATGGAGAATTTCTGCTCTAGCCTATAATGTGACCTTATGCAGATTATAACTCACAAATAAAAAAGAATGGAGTAAGTTTTGTCATAAATTATAAAAACCATCTCCACGAAAAGGGACTTCATTGCTTCAACAAGCATATTATTCCATCATATATGAATAAAGAAAAAGAAATAGCAAGTTATAAACGATCACAGCGATGAGGGTAAACTAAAGCTAAGTACTTCACATTTTCCCCTCATCACTAATTATCATTTAAATCAAATTTCGATCGACTACATAAATATTCCTATAATTGTTCGATCATAGAAGAAGAAAAAAGGCGACAATTGAGATACATATACCTTCCGTTAGCCCTCTCATGACTATGGGCACGTTCCTGGTTGTACATCTTGATGTCAATGCTTACGTTTTCCTTTAAGTCTATTTGGCCGCACAGTTTTTGGCAGGCTATTAGTAGTTGGAGGGCGGGTTGTCGAACACAGATTTTGTACCAGAGCCGAGCGCTGGATAGGTTCTCCCAGTGCGCTATTCAGGTAAAACGTCGCTTTCAGAGGGTCAAGTGGAATCAGTGGAAATAAAAGACATAGAAGAGGCAGAGAAATGCGCTTCGAATATCGCACCGAACGATGAGGAAAGCTAATAACACCGTGGTTAGGTAATGGACGAATTTCTTCTCTTCAGACACAAGAATTATATCATATAAAAATGATAAATCTCTCGGCGCTGATCAATCCCTGAGGGTTGCGCCACGCATCCCACCTTGCTAAGCATCGTTGGGGGCGATTGAATGCATATCTAGCCCTTACGATGACTCGCGTGGCCTATCGATGTATCGAGCCAGCGCTGCCATCCTCCCACACAACTCTGGTAGCAAATTGCTGACCTCGGAGGGATGGAAGGCGTGATGAGCCTAGGGATCAATCCTATGTATATTGCAGAGCACCGCAGACCACAGTAGCACACGCACCCCTTGTTAAATAATACACAAGAAGTAACCAAGAACATGGGAGCATGCACAGAAGAACATAGCGGATACGTAGATGTTAGAGCGATATGGAAAATATGTAACGGAACCGAGTAATAGAACGACCACCTCAAAAAATCGGTGCGTCGTGCCTCCTGCTAGAGCTCACGGACCGTATACCTCGATTTCAATGCGCAATTCGACCGCGCTCAAATAGCATCCGATGAGGCGACCTTTTTACAGGCCAAAATATCGAAAATCAGTTGGATCGAGTATGTAATGGGTATGAAGCACAATTGATGGACAACATCCGTTAGTGATCGGATTCCTCTAGATATCAAATGCACAGCAAGAACATCATGGACTCAGTAATAAGAGTTCTTAACGAAAATCCTAGAAGAAAGATATGATGCTCAACGGCTCCTTAGAGCGAACAGAACATACTTGGACACTCTTGCACGCAGCAAGGAAAAATGGAAGATTTACCAGCGCTCGCTCGAGTTGCTCGACGATCAACGGGAGGTGATGCAGGTGATACAGGTGAAAGTCCAACAAATATTTTCCTAGTAAATTGGATTGAACAAGAAGAATAATGATTAACTCAAACAAACATTAGTTCTAAATTGAGAGCAATTCAAAGATTTTACATAAATAGTTGCAAATCTAAGTGGATTTTAAAAAGACAAACAAGTAAGAACTTTCACACACATGAATTTCACTTCAGGAGCTATCACAAAACGGAGGCGTTTATATAGAAACATCATTACATGGCACTGCAAGCTGGCAAAATGGAGATTTTTTGACATGTGACGTCGAAATCTGCAAAAAACTCAGAACTAAGAACTGAAACTCAAGTAGCAAAATGTTCGCACCTAGACTTACTAGTAAATGAAAATATTACAACTTGTAATCTGAAATCCCAAATCACGAAAGCTTCTACCAATGTGAGTAGTATCGTAGTTAACTAACCGAGTACACAAACTATCAGCAGTCCTGTCAACTTTACACTTGTCTATATAGGCTTCCCAAATCTTCAACCCTTTCGGCTCAAAACCCATGCGATCTCCTTTTCTTATCTTCCTGAAAAACATTCGCCAACAAAGCTACAAGTTCACAAAGTTATAGGGAACTTAACCGAATTGCATTTCCAAAGAACGTCAACTGTTCGACTATTTTATAGTTACCTGAGGACGTAAATGAAATATACGCTATCCCAAAAAAAGTGCATCACGTTCTAAGATCAACATATAAAATAGAAAAGGATAACGCTCTCGATGTTGATCAATCTTTTAGGAGTGCTCCATGCATTCGAGTTCACTACACATCGTTGGAAGCGATTGAATGTTCCTAGAACGTCTACGTAATGCGTCTCCTAATAACGCGTACGTGATGGAATCTTTCGACGTTACCGCACTGTACACACGCAATGCAAGCCATCTTCGAACTTCTTGTTGAGCATGAAGGAAGAATAAATATGCATGGCTTGTCCATTCAGCAGCTGATGGCTCTCATAAAGGAGTGCCTAAACTGCTCGATTTTCAGATGGTCTGGGAAATATTTCGCGCAAATAAGGGGGTTGGCAATGGGACAGCGACTGGCACCAAGCCTTGCCATTGTAACTCCCAAGAATAATAACACCTCGCGTTTGCTCAACAAAAATACGAAGAATTCCTTGCCATTGTGTTTATGTCTAAGATAGAATCCCCTGTTCCCAATCTCCAGTAACTACTCTACTGCAGATATGTAGATGATTGTTTTGTCGTCTTCTCTACACAGGAGGAGATGGACAACTGCTTTGAGATATTGAACGAGCAGTCTGAGTACATAAAGTTCGCCCCGGGAGAAACCGAGAGAAAACTGGGTTCCGTTTTTGGACGTTCAAATAAACCTATCAAGTAGCGGTTAATTGACAAAGTGGTACCGAAAGCCAAGTACCAAGAACATCCTCGTTCATTTACTTTCTTCCCACCCTTCACACACAAAGGGGCGATTGTGAGAAACATGTTTCGAACAGGCACCTCTGTGCGCAGTACCAGGGAACTAAAGGAAGAATCGCGTGACTTGGCTCGGCAAATAGCTATCTCCAATGGCTATGAAATAGTAACCCCACGAGATAAGTTTAGAAGGAGAGCGACGCGCCCACGCGAAACACTTGGCCAAAAGAAAGTCCCGTTTACGTTGCCTTTTATAAGCGATGAACTAAGCGTAGCTATAAAACGATACTTAAGAAGGGCAGGTCTAGAGGAATCGGTAGCGACAGTTGAAATACCACCGACTACTCTACGTCGCCAATTAGTTCGCAACCGCCTGTATGACCGTCTGTGTGAAACAAAAAATTGCGTAATTTGCCCTTACGGAAGGGATGGTGATTGCATGAGTTCAGGTACGATATACCTGATCTTTTGTAATAATTGCGGAGATGAATATATTGGCGAAACGGGCAGACCTTTGTGTATCCGTATAAAGGAACACTTAGATGGCAAACGAAAACTAAGACGAAGTACCCCACTAGGCACGCATAGGATACAAAAGCATAGCGGAGACGATTTTGAAGTAAAAGTCAATATCCTTGCACAGGAGTCCAAAACACCAGCGCGAAAACTCCTACAGGCTTTTTGGATAAATGCCAAAAACCCTACAATGAATAGCAGGGACGAATGCCCGGAGGTCATACGCGACTTGACCACGTATGTTCGCATCAATTTCTGATGTGGGATGGTGCAGTCATCAACCACATGCGACTACAATCAGCTGTTCTAAACTTCTTCATTGGAAGTCACGAAAAAGCGGTGGGTTTTTTCGAGTTGTTGATCATGTAATTACCGAAGAGTTCTTCGTCTTTTTGTAAGTGTTATTGAAGCGTTTGGCCTAGTAGATTGTATATCAGTATACCCTTCCAGGCTCTGAAGAAGGCGATACTGCCGAAACGTCAGCTAGTGTTGTACTGTATTGTGTTTTTCTATGGAAGTAAATGTATGCTGTTTAAAAACCTCGCTATTGCTGAACAAGAAAACAAAGCATTCATATTCCAATGCCGAGATTAATAGAAAGTCGATCCTGGGAACTATTACAAGATGTATCAACACATAGTCTTTAAAATTAGCGCGCTACACGAACTCACTCGTAGATGAACATCCACATGTGAGCTTCATCCGATCTTGTGTATGACTGCCTTGGTTTCACCATTTTGTTCTGAGGGAAATATCTTGCTGTCACTACAGTCCATTATTCCAACCATGTAATACAAGGAACCACACCACCACGACATCTTATCTCGTAATAAATTATTTATTCTACTCGAATTTTGAAGTATAAATACCTACTTTGGTGCGCACATATCATGAAATGAAAAGTAAACGACAAATTGACATATAGCGATTATTTAAATTGCAGCGTAATCACAGTGAGTGTAGCATGTGAAATAAAACGGAACAGAAGGCAGAGTCTGAAGAAAAAAACGTCCGACGGGAAGTCCAAGGACGGGAAAAGGCACCGATTCGACTGGTCTAAAACACTATTAATCATCACATTTTTTGAGGTCTTATTACCTCGTACGGATTAAGGCAACTAGTAGCGTATATGGGAAAACCTGCAAGACAAAGAAGTACAAACCGATGTTCGTCAAGAGCTGTGCGAAAAATATCTAACCATTTCGAAACCGAAAAGGAAAACGATGCATGTATGCCAAGTGAGCAAAACCAAATGACAGCAACTGAGAAATTCAAGGCTACAGAATGGATAATTGGGGACGTATTGATGACTTTTCATTTCTGTACTGCACAGGGCCTTTCCTAGTTGCGTCCAGCTTTCGATTACGACGAACAGGCATGTCTCCAGCAGTAACACCGGACAGCACTGACGCATCAATTCCGAATGCTGCCAGCTGTTCTGCCAAAGAACGTTGAAGAGCTTCCAACTGATCTGCTGATAGTACATCCGACTGCATCTGAATTCCTCCACTAACAACCTTGGCTGGTACAACTGGTCTAGACGTTGCTTTGTCCTCTGGAAAAAAACACTGGTTTTAGTAAAAAATATTTAAATAGGCATTCTGTTCATTGTATTCAGGAAACACAATGTGGTTAAGTAACTAACCATTATGAGTAGGGCTGAGATTTACACCCGAATCCGCTCCAAGTGAGCTTGAAATACTGGACTGACTAGTGGCATGTTTGATAGCGGCCGCTTGAACCGGTGAGACAGCTTTCGGCAAAGAAACAGCCGCTGGCGCAGATGCTCCTTGAGTTGATATAACTACGAAATAATTGCTTTAGATAATTGATCTGTTCATCATCTCACTACTGGAAGAAAATAAGACATAAAGGTGTCCATTTTAGTTGCGTCTAGCATTTTTTATTTACAGCAACAGAAAACAGAAGATAATTTGGCCATACAAAGACTGTCACGTTAAAATAGCTACTTAAACCATAACATAATTTACAATAGGCTTGGAGACCTTTTATCCTAGTTTTTGAGCTATTTTGACAGAATGAGTACTGGTATTAGACTGAACGTAAGAACCACACACAATAATCAACACTTGGTAATCTGGCTCGATAACCAGTAAGCCGAAGATCACTGCATTTTACTGCACGATAACAGAAATGATAACTGGGAGATGCACCTCAATCATCCTTTTTGATAAACGAACGAAACAATAACTGATGAGTCAATAAACCTCAAAGATGTGAAAGCAATTGTTTCCACTTTGCAAATGGAAAAAGCAGTAAAATGGACGATAATTGATTTCTTAGACTACACGAAAAGAACCACAGCTAAATCATTAAAACTAATACAGGTTGTGAGAAGAACATTCAGCTATTAAACCTATCTGCAGTCAAAAACGTCTTCATAACTGCTAACATAAACGCTATGCGAAATACAATTTATTGGTGTACTGTAAACTAACCTGATCCGAATTTCTCTATGAGTGAAATTAAGTGGCTGAAATCAGCGTCAACGAATTTTGAGTGTGCTCCGCATATTTCCAAGAGCGTTTTCTCACGTTCTGTGATAGCTGAACGAAGGGCCTAAAAAACCGCTCGTTAATGAAAATGACGGCCTAATAATATATCCAAATAGTGCGTAGACGTTAGCCTTGATGAAAATAAACAAACTTGTTCAACCAGATAGGTACGGGAGTTTTTCTTATTGTACACAACCCTTCATCAAATTTGCTATGCGGATCCCAGCACACTGCATTCAATTCGTCTTTCCTCGCATTTACCGTCTACAATGGTCCCCGAAGATTCCTGCGTCTTGTTTCAGCTGCTGTTTGAGGATTTCGCCTCCTGTATGGATGTCGGAGAATGTTGGTCAAGTCGATTCTCCTAGCAACCTTGGAGATGGGGGGGGGATTAAGGAGTTCTCATGTGGATTGGAGGAAAACGTTAGGACGGGTATCGAGCTAGTGCTTCCTGGTCGACGAAATCGCTATCCACTGCGCTATGCCCGCCGCGATACGAGACTACAATGTAATATATCATGATGGTACAATAACTTTGGGATTTCTGAAAATCCTACCCTAAATATGCAGAAGCGGGGATAACGAAAGCGAAATTGAACTGGTTGGCTCTCTGGTTGCAGAGACTATCTCGCAAGTATGCCTTCGGGAAAACAGCATGAAGGAGGAACTAGTTAGGAGAGCGGAATCCCCGTTAACCTTCGATTCAACGGTCTCCCAGCACTCTATTATGCTGCAGAGACATGGCCTAATACTAATCCTAATCACGCCAAGAATACTCCGCACTACTCATAGAACGCTTGAACGATGTCTTCTGAAATATAACTGGCACTCTCAATATCCAGCCTGAATGCAAAGCTCTGATCGTCGAAATCTGTCATATCTTCTGGATTCAGGAGAATAATGGACGAAAAGAACTGTAGAGTGGACTCCACGAGAATGCAGGCTCCCCCTATGATGGCCACCTACACTTTGGGCGGAACCGTTCGTAAACAAAGTTAATCAGCTGTACTCGCAGCTACAGCTGTTTCGCAGATCACGGTATGAGAATCGCACGCGCCAGCATACTCAAATAAAACCACCACCATGGAGTGCGAGAGAAAAAAAACGAATGGTAGATGTGCAGGGGTCTTTACAACTCGTGAACAAGGACCGTCCAAGTATCCAAGCAAGCAAGTAACATGCAGAGGACCAACGAACAAATTGGACGATAAGGTATTTCTCTTGTGGAAATGTTATGTCGCGAATCAACTCACGCTAGCAGAAAAAGATAACACCGATGTTCTCCTACAAGCGAGATGTTGCATGCGCATCACGCTTGCAAAGGTTAAGTATAATTGCATGTCTGCTCGATTTAGAAAAGAGATGAAGCATTAAACGTAGGTTTGCCCGCGAAACAATGGCCAGAACGAGCGAATGAGTCAAAATTTCCAACTGCCGGAAAAGTTGTCAGTCAATCAACACTAAAAAGACCGATGGCTTTACTTTCCATGACGAGATCGAGTGAACTTGCGCTGGATATGGGACATAGTGCAGCGCTCTGTGCATTTTACGATGTAACAAACTATAACTCCACCATTATGAAAGAAAAAATCAGAATAACATATCTGATCAAATATAAACAGATCAAGTTTACCTTGAAGGTCTGGTGAATATGTTCCACTGCTGGTATGTCTTTTTCGCTTGTACACTTTGTGTCGACTCCTGAAAAATTGAATTTTTGGACCTTAGACAGCTGTGAGTAGCACGATGACAAGCCAAAACACTTCGACAAAAAATCGACACTGAAACTGTGCTAAAACATTAGCCATCTCCATCATTATAAGATTACTTCGCCAGTTTACAGAACCACATAGCCCTGTGCAACACCAAGGAGCATAGATAAACCAGTAATTGACACGTATTCAACCACACACTCGTTCAGCAGCACTTCTGGTCTTTGAACTAATTACTAAAATATTTTTTGTCAAACTGTCAAACGGATGGAAGTGTTGCACTGCTAACGCCGTTTAGACTTGATAAGAAATGCTTCAATATCATGTGCTCAAATAAGAAGCACCGTTAGCAACGCTTAAGCAAGAACTTAACATATCTCTTCTCGTATGCAAAGAAGAAACAAACCTCAAAAGAAAAACACAATGATGCCCAAAAAAACTCACCTTCCGCATGGATTATGAAACCATTGCTCTGGGAAGACATCATGGGAGGTTGCTGTGTTGGACGTTCGACTTTAGCTATAACTGCATCGATTCATTAGCAGAAGGGTTAGTGATAAAAATGGATACCATCCTTAGATTAGAACACTTCGAACGTACGTTTGCTACTTTGCGGCGAAGTTTTTGGAACGACAGACGGCGAGGCGGTAGGCGCAACAGAACCAGCCTCTGACTCTGAACCACACTGCTTGTTCTTCTTCTTCTTTTTGTTCTTGTTTTTCCCAGAAGCACCAGTTGGACGGACCCAGTCGTCCAGCACTTCCGAAGCTCCATCTGTTAATTAGGCGCATACAACGGAAGATATCTCGACACGAACAGAGATCACATCCAAGAAAACCTTCACAAAATGCCTGAATGGTTCGTTCCACATTCATATCAAAGGAATGCAATGCCAATATAATGTCATTCGTGCTGACACCATGTACGACTTCGCGAACTTTCGCAATTTTATCATTGATGAGCTTCTTCTCCGCAACCTTTGACATGGCCCTGAAACAAAAAGGAGGGTCTTCACATGCAAAAACATGCAGGAAAGGTGAGGAACAACCGGAAAGGGAGTCAACTCCAAATTAAATGAGTCGTGTGAGGATTCGGTCTAACTCTATAGGATGACATGAAAATAACAAATGAAAGTGAAGAGCGACAGGAACGACATGACAAGAGAAGTGTGCATTCCATTCCCTGAAAGACGAATGCCCCACGAACACCGTGAAGCTGAAAGTGCAGAAGCACCGATGCAGCGTCCGAACCGTGTGCCCACCAGCAGCGACCTCCCAAATGCGATGTTGGCACGCGGCGCGGCCGCGTTGCGTGCCCAAGTCGCACTGCGGTGTCAGTGGAGTTGGGTGTCGAGCATCTATCGTCGCCAGCAAGCACGGCCACTCGTCTAGCCAATGTGTATTTTATCCTGTCCATGATTGGTCTAGTTTTATGAATAGAAAAATGGTTGTTGAATAGTGGTTTCCGCATATTTTCGCTTCAGTAAAAAAAATCGGGCGTGCTTGTCCTTCAACGAAAACATGCACCTGTGTACCGTAGTCCGCAACATTAACTCACTTATTTGGGCTTTCGAGTTGGTTCATGTCGGGGCAGAGCCATGGTGTACCCGGCCCGGATCTCGGTGTTTTCGGGATTTCACTACATCTTAGAGTTTGTCTAATCTTAAGTTGTATCTAGTGCATCGGCTCGTTTCGTTCAGTTTCCCCGTGGGCAATAGGCCGGTTGTGTGCGTGGGAATCAGTGTCTTACGTCTTTAATAGACGTTACCTCCTCTTTACATCTGTCTACATTGACGCCGATATGTTGCATTTGCTTCAGGTCGTTTTCCGGTCTGTACGTTCTTCAGTAACTTACTTTTCAGGGGTGAAATGTCAAAAGTTTCACGCGAAGCTCTAAACGAAGCCGTTGCGGACGTTTTGAAAGGCGCGCAGGAGAAGAAGCGAAAGTTCCGTGAGACCGTGGAGCTACAGATTGGACTCAAGAACTACGATCCGCAGAAAGATAAACGTTTTAGCGGCTCCGTAAGGTACTCCTACCTGTAGTTTACAGGGAGCCACTGAAAAGTGGCGGACCCTCACCCAGGGTCTTAAAAATTGGGGAGGCAGTGCCGATTTTAATACAAGACGAATTTCGTTCTTGGTAAGAGTTTTTCTCGAGATTTTGTGGCTTTTGTCGAAATACGGTACAACGACTGTTCTGAGTCTGTCAAGAGGAAGAAAAAATTACCGTTGTCTTAATTATTGCAACGAGAAATCTTTAAAAAAAAACTTTGCGTTCAGATAGAAACTGGAAGAGATTTTTGGAGGTGAAGGTCGGTGTGTTGATTTTCGGAAATCGGTGCTGTAGACGTTGTTTCAGACTGAAGAGCATTCCTCGTCCTGCCATGAAGGTGTGCGTCTTCGGCGATCAGCATCATCTCGACGAGGCTAACGCGAATGGGATTCCTTGCATGAGTGCTGATGACTTAAAGAAGCTTAACAAGAACAAGAAACTTATTAAAAAGCTGGCCAAGAGCTATGATGCCTTCCTTGCCTCCGAATCTCTCATCAAGCAAATTCCTCGTATTATTGGGCCTGGTCTCAACAAGGCCGGGAAATTCCCTTCGGTTGTGTCTCATGGTGAACCACTCACTGCAAAGGTTGAGGAGATTAAAGCGACCATCAAATTCCAAATGAAAAAGGTATGTGAATTCACGAGTAGTTTTATTATTGTTGCGGAAGCCAGAATTTTAGGTACTCTGCCTTTCTGTTGCGGTAGGACATGTGGAAATGAGCCAAGAAGAGCTTGTATCCAATATTTCTCTCTCGATCAATTTCCTCGTCTCTCTTCTAAAGAAGAATTGGCAAAATGTCCGCTCATTGAATATTAAGTCCACCATGGGCAGAGCTCAGCGCTTATATTAAGTATCATTTTAGATAAATTGTTTTGTTGCTGGTTTCGAAGTGCACTGGGTGTTTCTTAATCCACACTATTGTCAGAAATTACGTTAGTCTTATAGATTATTTTGTTACAAAACCTTTTATGGTTTGTTATATGGACATTTTGCGGTCAGATTGTACGGGTCGTTTTCTCCGTCGTTGGACTCTCTAAGTGTTAACTCATTTCCAACGGCTTTTTAATGTGGAGTCGTATGTAATGGTACATTGTGGCCTATACAATTTCATACGCGGTTAGTTTCTTTTTGGGGTTTTTTTTGGCTCTTAGGACTTCCTAGCTATACTTAGTATTCACCTGATAACTCATCGAACGAAAGTGTTGTACTTGGATACTTGTACTTGTATGGCCCGTCTCCATTGGTTGTGCGGGCCGCAACAAAATTTTCATTTTTTTCGCAGTTCTGGTTTAACTACTGTAGTTCCCTGGAGTCCCGAGGTCTGCTAGGGTGTGCCCCAGAACCTCACCACCACAGGCAGTGGCCAATCTTTGTGGATCAGAGGGAGATTTGCCACCAGCGATTACTTTGGTACCAGGACGGTGGTAGATCCAGGTATTGGTTTACTCTTAGGTGGGTTTCCTAACTGAAGTTTCGGACTCCTTCTCAGCTTGGATGACCCTACTGGAGAGGTGAATCGCCCGCTGTACATCTCAGCTTGACAACCAGGAGCACATCCTAACCACCATGAGGTGGTAAGCCGTTAGGAGGGAAGGTATTGCACTTGTTACACAATTAAACGTGGTTTTTATGCATGCATTAAAAACGACATAGGCAGGCTCCATATGGGGAGTCATAAGATGTGACATCGGTTACTAAGCCATAGAATTCTATATAATATTGGCGTATATTGTTTGCTGTATCTCTTGCAGTCGTTTAGAAGAAGACCGTTGTTCTGCTTATCATCAAAGCTTGAAAGAAAAAGTACAGTACATGCGCAAATAACGAGAGGATCCTTTACTAAGCCGACATGCACTTAGTCTCTGCGTGAATAATGTATTTGGTTAGATTCTTCTGCTCGTACGTCTCCTGTCGTCCCGTTGATGGTAGAATGTTTCCAATGGGCGCAAGTAAAGTTTCCGGTTTTTTTTTCTTGAGTGTAAAAGTGGCCGAGTGGGTTATACCTGACCTGGAGCACGCTGAGCATCATCTTCTTTCTGAGGATTTCCTCAAAAACTCTATCTGGTTTGCGGTTTTTCTGCTGTAGGTTTGATATCCGGAGGAATCCAGTCGTTCAATGTGCTTGTGCATCGGTTGTTGCTCATACGCATCAAGTGTTCTGCCCATCTTATCTTCAACAATTTGGCGTCTAGAATGTTTTTGATTTTTGATCGTTGACGCAGGTCGGAGCTTCCGATCCCCTCTCTTTCATACGTGATGCGGGATACTCCTGGCATCGTCCCCTAGAACGCATGTTCCATAAAATGGAATAATCTTTCATTCTGCTTGCATAGCGGTCTGGTTTCCGACGCGTACGTTAAGGCAGGGAAAATCGTGGAGTCGAAGAGGTGGATATGGTGTCAGTTCTTTATTCTCTTTACTACTAACTACATCCTTGATGCTCTGGAAAGCTACCCCAGCCCCTCGTTTCCTTCTGCTCAGCTCTGAAGCTAAGTCATTCATCATGTTGATTTTCCGACCTAGATAGACATAACTGGGGCATTCGGAGGTATTCGTTCCATCAAGCGTGAATGGGGTGTACGAAACCAATCCGTCCCTCATGAACATCGTTTTTGTGAGATTTAGTCGAAGAGCAATCTTTCCACAGGCTTTTTCAAAGTCGGTAAGCATACATTCCACCTGGCTAGTGTTTGGTGTTATAAGGACGATGTCATCAGCAAAGCAAAGATGGTGTAACTGCCGACCATCGATTTTCACTCCCATGTTATCTCATTCCAATGTTCGTATGACCTGGAGGGTGGCGGTAAATAATTTTGGCGAGATGGTATCGGCTTGCCTAACTCCTCTTTTCACGTCAATGTTAATATCGTCGTAGAATGGTGATACCTTGGTTGTGAAATTTTTGTACACCTCGCGAAAAATCTTTATGTATTGAGTAGGGACTCCTTGACTATCATGGGCTTCAAAGACTGCTTCTATCTCAACTAAATCAAAGGCCTTGTGTAAATCGATGAAAGTGAGACAGAGCGGTCTTTTATACTCTCGCGATACTTCGGTAAGCCTTGTTATCGTGTGGATGTGGTCCATTGTATTGAATCCTTGCCAAAAATTTGCTTGCTGAAATGGATGTCTTTCGTCCAGTGATCTATCAATGCTGTTTACAATTGTGTTTGTGGAGTGTCTGTAGACGAAAGATAGTAAGCATATTGGGCGATAGTTGCCGATATCATGGCGGTCTCCCTTCCTGAATGATAACACGGTCTTACTGGTCTTCTCTTGAATAATAACCTTGCATTCCGACGTATGAGGTGTAAGGAGCTAAACCAGTGTGTTGATGAGGGCTGACGGAAGGTTCCTTAGGTGTTCCGGTTTTATCCTGTCGGAACTATGTGTTCAATTCTTCACCGATGCAATTCCTTGTCAGATTTCGGAAGGGATGACAGCTCGAACAATATATTCATTGTCCTTCATCTCGTGTGAGAACAAGAAAACGTAGCTATTGAAGAGATCCGAGTAGTAGTGGATGTATGTTTTCCTCTATTGCCTTTCTGGACACTAAAATCTTGGTATAGTAATTGGCTTCGGTGGACTTTGCCAATGGTTCCCTACCTGTGCAGCTTCGACCACAACTGCTGTTGTTCTGTCTTTAAGATCTTACCATATTTCTGCATTGTTTTGTATGGTCGGGCGTTAAGGAGCAGTTGCCTACGGCTCATGCAATTCAGCATTGGCGTAGTAGCTCAAATGTTTCAGCAATAAAACGTCTCTTGGTGTCGGTCGAACTCTTAACTTGCAAAGAACTGAAAGATCTTGGATGAGCAGGTCGTGTTCTTCATGGGTGTTACCAGTAACGGCATCTTGACATGAGCTACGTAATGGTTTGAATAAATCCCAGTTTCTGATGAATTTTGGATTTGGTGTTTTAAAACAAGGCTTTTTGTCTTTCTGCGAAAAATGGAATCTTGCACGAGGTGGGCGATGTTTTTGATCCATTGTAGAATTTTGTGATAACAGCGACATCCACTAAGCAAAATCTTCGATTTGCTATCATGTGACCTATTTCGTCATAGTACACTCCATTGGGAGACTCCCACTTCCAGCGTTGAGGGTGTGGCTTCTGGAATTGCGAGTTACCATGGATTGTCTTGGTCGTCATCATAGACTCAGACGGCCGCTCATCTTGTTCGATGCATTCTAATCAATGGGTCCCAATGTGACGTTCTTCAGACGTTTTCTGGGTTTAATCTTAGCGTTAAGTTTTCCAATGGTGATCTTAAGTTAAACATGGTATTAAATGATTATGATATTCTATGTAGGACTTCTCCAAGTCCACATAGAACGCTTCTACTTCGTCTTTGTCATTGGATTGATGTCGGTTTTAAGTGATGAAGGTTGTCATAGCTGGAATTGGTTTCCATTTTTTCAACCGTAACCGTGGTTGGTACATAATTTTTGTTCGGCTGGCACTTGGATTTTTTCGTTTTTCTTAGGGCCGTTAATCCAAGTCGATGGGTCACTGTCCTTCGTCCTCGTTTTGTAGGTCTTCGTAGTCGTACCACATCGAATGGAGCAACGCTGAAATGAGTTAACCTTACTAGACGGTGTTTTTGTATGGAACTGTTGTTGACTTATTGTGAACTACTGGCAGTTTGTTTTCATGTCGACAATCCATCCTATATCGGTCGGTATTAGGATAGGTAGGAGATGGCGTAATAGGAACTGCTGTAGGATTGATTGTCGACATTGAAAAAAATCATCAGTTGACTATTAATCAGCATTCGTTCTGTGTAAAAAAGCCTTGCCAGGTTAGTTTGCTTCATTTAAGCGGTGCTCCACTCATGAATATATGACTACATACACCTAAGAGAGCAATATTCGACTCCATAGGACTAAGAAAACTTGAAATGCGAGGAGGAACACCTGTGAAGCATCAGCTGGGTTCATTGGATCTGAAGAAGACAGACGTTGAACCGCTAGTCGAGTGAAAGTTTTATAAGCAAATACTTCCGCAGATTTACTGTATATATGCAAACATCAGGACGCGTGTAGCGCAGTAGTTAGGGGTACTCTGCAGTACAAGGAAGATCCTTAGTTCGATTTCTGCGCCCGCCGAACATTCAATCCCTTTGAGGGTTGTAAATTGGTATCAGACCTGTATGGGAGAATAACAGCACTGGCGTGATACTTTATTATCGCTAACACTGCTTAATGAAGTCAGAGGCGTATCTCGCAGGGGTTGATCAACGCCGGAAAGCTTTATCCTTTATGCAGACGTCTAGTTGACATACGTCTAGAAGGAGTTACACGATTTGACATGCGTCTGGAAGCAGTTCCACAATCCACATAAAGGAGAAGGGATTAAACTTTCGTCGTTGATCATTCCCTGAGTGTTGCGTCATGCCCTCGACTTTGTTAAGCATCATTTGGAAGTGATTGAATTCATATCTGGCCTTTACAATGATTCGCGGTGGCCTTCTGATTTATCAAACCAGTGCTGCTATCCTCCTAGACAAGTGTCGTACCAATTTGCTAACCCCGTAGGGATGGAAGGCTAGGTGCGCCACGGGCGCGGGGTCGCTCTCATGTGCACTCTGTGGGTCTCCTCCGACCACTGTGCCACAAGCACCCTTTAATAATGTATACACAATCGTCATATGTATTCATAACTGAAAACGTTTGGTTAGAAGAAAGTGAAGTCTCAGGTACTTCGTTACCCTATCAAACGTTCCGTAGCGTGATTAAGGTTGTAAATACTCAGCTCATACAGCAGTTTTATCTTTTCAGTTGCTGTTACAGATTATAGATGATACAATCGGTGGAGCAGGTAAATGAAGAGGAAATGTCCGCTATTAAGCGGCAAGTTATCGCTATTGTTGGGGATTCCGATACTACGGTAAGTTGTTTTCGGAGTATGGACTTTACTTTGTTCATTAATCATTCCATTTGACCATAAAAGAAACAACTGTAAAGTATTCCAGTTAACTAAACAGCTAGTAGAAGCAGTCGGAAATGGAAGCACTGATGGAGTAATAAATTTGGATACAAAGTATTACCAAACACATGTTGGTATCCTACAGTTTACTACAGGCAATGAGCTTCTCAAGATGAAAAAGGAGAATCCAGATGTAATAATTGGAGCCATAATTCTCAAGTTCGTTTAAATGTCCTAGTCGAGTAAACCTGCAAAAAACGGTAAAAATCCCGCACTTCTTCCACTTTAGTGTTGGAAATATTTTCGTTAGAAAAATTCCATTGTAGGAGCTATAAATAATCTTTAGGCTTGTGTCTAGAAATCACTTCGAGATCATGGAAAACGTTATTCAGGAGATCAACTGTGATTCGCATGTAAGTGTTCCATGCTGTTATCAGTGTTAATGTATTGAGTGGACGTTCGTTATATGTCACCGCCCTCGCGAAAATTAAGCACTTACTTTCCCAAGGTTTTGGTAGCCGATTGCTGCTCATCTGACGATGTGAACTTTGCCCAGTCTTGGGCCCAGAGTTTCAAATTCGAACTGGTAATCCTTGATCCGAACAAGGTATGTCCTTGTTTACATATTTCTTCTCATATTATTACATGTTTGTCTCACATGTTTACGTGATTCATACCCTTGTTTAACTCCAGAAACTTTTGACGGGAACTAATAATCTTGTGTTGTATAGTTGTGCACCACAGAGTCAGCGCGAAGAAGCTATGTCGTTGAGCGAGAAATGTGGCATTGCAAGAGTAGTGGAAGTACTCGAAAATGTACCGTGGCAACTCAGAAAAGAAAACTTTAAGAAGGTTAGTTAGAAGACAAAGCTTTAAGAAAGTTGGTTAGTATCTTCTTGGTGCCTTATCGTCATAGTTGTAAAAGTAGAAGTGAACTATATAGGAATTTACCTGTATAAAACAACCGCAATTGCATTGTTCTAAAAATATTGTATTTAGGAAATTTCAGGTTATTTTAGGAAAGTAATATTTACAGGTCACTGGTAAGCAAGAACTTGATCGTTTATTAGCAATAATTGAAGCAATGAGTGACAGTAGTGAGGATTCTGATGCCGAACCAGACGATGAGGATAGAGGTGTGTTTTACTGGTATGTAGAAGGTACTTTTACAAGATCCCGTACTTCAGTTTTATAATGAAAGAATCGACAGAAAAGTAGAGAATTGCAGAAGCTATATGGCAGGCGTTCAGTTCATACAGTGTTCCTCCTTCGAATGCGGAAACATCGACAGTAAAAGAATGTGAAGAAGAAATTTCTGTTGATGTGACTATAGTGAAGAATGAGCGAGGGACCGATCAGTGGTTCTCGAAACTTCTTGAAAACGAGGTAAATACATCCGTTTTATTTATTTGCTGTAATCCATCACTTTTTTCGTTCAAGACAAGAACTCATGGATTAGATAACTACAGCAGCACACCAGAGAATACTGATTTCAACTTGTTCCAAGCAATGAAGGATGTAGGTATACATAGTGTTCTTCGTAAACTAAATCCATAAACAGTAACCCTCTTATACAACACGAGATACTCCATGATTCTAGACCCATGATGCAAACATGAAGTTGAATGACACAACACAGCGTGTGGACAGTGCAACTGCCTTGCTTTCCAAAATTGTTGATCTCAGAATGACGAACGAGGAAGTAAGTCACCATCAGAAAACTGAATAATGTTGTTTCGTCCTCCCATCTACTCTATTTGTCTCATGGGTCGCAAACGTTCTTAGTTGTGAATTTCTCTGTATTTTCGTATGTGTATAAAGCAACTTAATGTATTCATGAAGTATTCGAATCAATGTACAATCAATTACTCGCACAGTCAAGAGCATAAAATTTGCTAACTCACTGATACTCGCAAATGTCAATTAATATGAGTAGCGTAGAACTAGCAGCTGACCAGCTCCAGCTATATCTACATTTGGAAATCTTTCTTTAACATAGTACGATTAACGAAATACAAGGAAGACAGCTAGAATACCCATCACAGAATCTTAAACCTATAATCGCACACGACTTCATACGGAGGCGTTAAATCGATTTTGATATTCGGAATATCACAAAGAACAGCATGTCCGAGCGGGCAGCAAAGCTAATAAATAGGTAGGGCCGCTTATACGTATATATAAACACTGGGGAGACTTTAGAAATGTGCTATGAGAAGGCGCATTTTAATAGTTGGGTAGAAGTGCAAGTGATTGCTGAACAGTAGGAAAAGAAAGATGGAGAGAGTCTACTTATGAAACGGCTACTAGGGTGAATCTGTATTATTTAATCATCTCCAGGATGCTCTGGGCAGCAGTTCTTTCGTTTAAACCAATCATCAATGCACCTAAAAATGTTGCATGAAAAATTATTGACGACTTGTTACAAAATTGACAACTAAACGTCTTCAGTAACGTCTTAAAAATCGACTTTCATCAAACTTCGGGAGGAGTAAACAGTATTCTTCTAGATTTTTGAGCTGACATAGGGTTGGTAAAAAACAGCAACAATGACTAAATGTTTGTGTACAATCGACACGGACCAGCGCTGCTCCGAAAAAGGTGAAGGCGCTAACAGTATAGTCGAATAAAAGTCTTATACCGAGATCGTGTCAGCTCTACTGTCTAGAAGAACTAAGCAGCGGAATCCAAACGTGGCAAAACAATGGTAAATCAACATACTGTTTATGGTATATGCAAAGGCAAGGCAAACGGGCGATAATAGCTCCAGTAAGCATTTCTTCAAGGCAAATTGAACATTCGCCTTTATCCTCTGTAAGAACATCGTCTGAAATAATAATAATAAATGGCTAGACAAAAAAGAAGCGTTAAGTGACAGGAAATGATTGATTCCACTTAACCATTCATTTCACCTAAAATCGATATGCTTCCCAACGATATACCGCCTCATCGTGGTTGATAGGTGTTCCCGGCTGTTGGGCTGCGATGTACAGCGAGGGATTCGTCCTCCTTGCAAGATCTCCTATGTTGTGAAGGAGTCCAGCGTTTCCATTAGGAAACCCAGCTAAGAGTAAACCAATATTAGGATCTACCACCGTCCTAGTATCAAACTTGTCGCACGGTGGCGAATATCCCTCTGATCCACAACGGCAGAGACTGTCTGTGGTGACCTAGGGAGGACTTTGGCCTGGCTGAGCTCAGGACTTCAGGGAACCACAATGGCTAACCAATAAGATTCCGAAACTGTGGAAATTATGCTGAGGCCCGCACGAACAGTGAAGATGCTTGAACTTGAACGGCCCGCCCTCACTGATTGTGTGGGCTCCAGCATAATCACCATCTTTCGGAGACTAGCTGGTGAAGCCATTGTGGTTCCCTCGAATTCCGAGGTCACCCTGGCCAGTCTAACGCAGGTCTTCACCACCACGGGCGTCGCATCCTTTGTTTGTGGATCAGAGTGAGATTCGCCACCATGCGACTTTGACACCAGGACGGTGGCGGATGCTGGCATAGTATTACTCTTAGCAAGGCTTCCTGATGGGAACGCCGGACTCCTCAGTTTGTGAGACCTTGCCGAGCGGACGAATCCCCCCGCTGTACATCGCAGTCCTACACCCTACACCTCCCAGCTACGATGAGGCGGTAAACCGTTGGGAGGGGAAAGACAGGCCATCTATGTATTCAAGTAACTAAATAAAATCGGTATGACGTACCATTATATGTAATTTTTGGTCTAGTAAGGCACATTACAAGGTGGACGTCTGCTTCGTCAGAGGGAACAGTTTTGTGACAAATCGGACAAGTCATGTCCTCAACACCTAAATATATCAGGAATATAAAATCATTTCTGGAGAAATACAGGAAGGTCAGTGCCAGCAGTAATGGAAAGCCAACGTCCTCTAAGCAATATACAGATAGTGCCACAATAGCCAAAACCATGCAATTGGTTGACTATTTGACAATCAAACGAATTCATAAGAAATCACCCTACCCATCATAAAAACAGGCATCGAGCGTCTACTAAAGTTACCTCGCAACCGACCAGTTCGTGCGTGACTGAAGATGGGACCACCGTGAGGGCGCAATCTACAAAATAACGCTTTATACATCGCGAGGACAAGTAAGCAGGCGATACGATAAGGAAAATCTTGGAATTCCAGAATTGCGACTGAATAAATAGAAGAAATAGCAACTGCATAGGAGCATCTAATGAAATACTACGCAAAGTAAGAGTAGTAAGCAATGCTTCACCTCATCGGATGCGGATGAAGTGTTGAAGGACCAGCGTCATCCTCAGACCCGTTTGAATCCGACGATGATCCAACTATACGAGTATTTCGTATTGTCTGAAAACCAAAGCGCTTATAAATGCAACACGATGTCTATTGCTTTACCAAGATTGAGATTCTACAAAAAGAAAGGCGTGGAAATCGCAATGGCAAACAGGAGCGCCTACGGGGCTTGGTTTTCTTCAGCATCCTTCAGCCAGATTTTTATTTTTCCCTCTAAATTCGCAGATTTCGCACAGGTTAAAAAATCTACTGGATCCTTTGCTAAACTTTTAGCATTGTTGCCTCTATTCAAAAATGAATTTACGATGTTGTTGCCAAACTTATTTTGTTAGATTTTAGTTACAGCTGTACTTTACTTTACCGACGTGGCGCGCTTTGGCGCAGTGGCCGTAGGAGCCCTACAACGCACACATGGGATCGATCGCCGCACCCGTGGATCACGAAGCCCTCCATCCTTCCGGGATCGGCAAAATGGTACCAGACTTGTCTGGGAGTAAAGCAGCACTGGCATGATACATCGGCAGGCCACCGCGAGTCATTGTAAAGGCCAGATATGCATTTAATTACCTTCAACGATGCGTAATGAAGTCGAATGTATGGCACATCACTAAGGGATTGATCAACGCCTAGAGCCTTATCCTTTATCCTTTATCACCAGTTTCCCACTGTAAGTGAATGTATGGCACATCCCTAAGGGATCTCTCTTGACCTAGTAATGTCTCTATTGGTGCCTGTCTTAAGCCATAGCGCACAAGTATTCTTCTCGCTGTAACGACATGAAGAGCATCACATGTCTTCAAGCCCCTCTTTAACAGCCTCGCGATGAGTGATACCAATAGATGCCCTAATGGTTTTGTGCAAGTGGCCGCTAAAACACCTATGTCTCATTTTCTTTCTGGTGGTTTATTTTGATGCACAGAAGTTTTATTCCTTACACCTTTGGTTCTCAAATGACAGCCTATAGAACAAATGTTGTGTTTGGCGCTGTATGGGAAAAGCTCTATGCTGCACTCAGAAATATACAAAAACCGTTTTTCGAACGAAATCACAAACCGGAATACCGGTACTACCGACCACTATTTCAATTCTAATTACTGCAGTGAATTATAGCTGTCGTATAGAGTGTGCAGCTATAAATAATACTGAAATAGAGACCCATAATTTGAAAACGGTTCGAAATGCTGAAAGTGACGTGTTTGTTTGATGGACCATAGTAACATATAGTAAATAGCACCATAGACTCGAACAAATAGTGCTTATTTTCGAAAAACCAGCAAGTCCATAAGGGTTGACAATTAGGCGTCGTCCAGTCCAAAACAAGGCTGAGATGAGGTTCCTTCGCGAGAACGTTTAGAGAACTGAGCACCTGGGTTGGTAGTCCAGCCCGTGACATCCTGTGTAACCATGGGGGAACGGCTCCTATTCAGCGGCTACGCAGGTCATTACCGACAAGTTGACGCTTGGTGCACAGCCTCGAAGTTGAAGAGCGATGTAGCTTGGAAATTCGGTCTCTCACTCACGTAATACAGGAGCCTATTTAGTATTGTTCTCACCTCATATTTGAGACAGAGCCTTCGATATCACGTTTGATAGCACTGACCGTTTATTCACCTTATTTACGTAGTGTCTCTGTTCTCCAAGCGTCCGTTAACATGATGACCAACACCGATAGCCAACTAGTATGAGGCAGAGAAAAATCGCGCATATAAACTTTAAAGAAAAGTATTTCAGTTCGGTGAACTCTAGAGATTATTAGATCTTTGTCAACAAGATATTTTTCAACTTGGATACTTGGAAAGCCCGTTCTCACTGGTCGTGCAAGCCCTAGCATAATCTCCACTTTTTCGAAATTCGGCTGGTTTAGCCATTGTGGTTCCCTGGAGACCTGAGGTCAGCAAGGCGAAAGTCTGCCCCAGGTCGTCACCACCACAGGCAGCCGCCGCCCTTGTGGATCAGAGGGAGATTTGCCACCATGCGACTAATTTGGTACCTGGACGGTGACGGGTCCTGGTATTGGTTTACTGGGCTTCCTGATGGAAACGCCGGACTCCTTCTCAGCTTGGGACCCTGCCAGGGGATGAATCTCCGACGTACATCGGAGTCCGACACTCAGGAACACCTCCCAGCCACGATGAGGCGGTAAACCTTTGAAAGTTATTTTTCAACTAGATAAGATATCTACACAATTTTACACGGAACAAAAATCTCCATTTTTTCGTGGAGATTCATACTTCGAATACTAAAGTGACTAAATAAACTGAGTTTGGCCAGCAGGATAGAAGCGGTTCCAAGTAGCGTTGTTAATGTTTGCGAATGGCACACTTTCAACTAAAATTTTTTAAAAATTAAAATCCGTTTTAAGTTTTTTCTTCGATACCTAGGTTTTAAACATAACGAAAGCCATAACAATGCCTAAAAAAGAATGTACATGTGGTAAGGAAGACAGAGCCTCTCCTATGAGACCCTAAAATTCTCAGGTTCTGAGGCACAATTGGGACTCAGTTGTTGAAAAGCTATTGGGTAGCATCGAAAAGCCAGCATCAGCCTTCCGTGTTAAAGGAATAAAAAGTATAAAGAGCTGAGAGCAAAATCTGATGTTCTATCTGTTTTTCATTATCTTCTCAAACATGTAAGTTTCCCCTAAGCTCCCGTGTTCAGCTCTGGAACAAAGCGATTAGCTCAAATAGAAAACAGAACTGTTTACGGTCCTACGACGTTCAACAATTTAGAGCTTCTTCAGAGCTAAACAATGTTTACGAAGAGGACTATTCTCAAGTCTGTAGAAATGAGTTCAGTCTAGAATTCTCGATATCAAAGAGTGCCAAAGTAAAACCGAATATGAAAATCCATAGTAAATTTAACAACTGACTAAAATATATGTAACTAAAGTTAGTTCCCATCCATGCTTTGACTGGTAAATTACCCTTTCAGATAATGATCAGAAAACTTGGACTTCTCCCTTGTTAGGATAACAATGGCTCCAAAACTGAAAAGATTATGACGTTAAAAGAATACATACCAGGATGTAATAACCGAAGTTGTGAGTTTAATTCACGTCGTAGATAGCTCTGTGCAAAAACTACTACTCGTATGGAAACCCACCGATGTTCATCAAACTTTGGCATTTGAGAAAGCATTACTCGGAGTAGGAAACATCAAATCCGACTTTGAACACTGGAGAGCTGGTTTATTTTCCAGTACATTCGTCTTTGCAGTGTTATTCATCAACCACCAAAGGGACTTGCACCCCGGGCAAGATCGCACCACGATTATCCTTTCCGGGAGCTCGCGTACTGGACACTACACCTTAGAGACTTGCTCTGCGTTTCTCTTGAGTCTTGAATCAATCAGTGTATCCTTTCGCACCTACTCAGACTATGTTACGATCACAGCACACATCGATTTGAAGAAATCTTCACGTCAGTCTGCTAGAAATTCCAACATCTCAACTCTCTCTCTAGTTCATACGAAAATACCTGCAAGAATTCAGCTGCCGTCATCACCGATCTGCTCGGATTTCTGGATTGATCATCCTGACCTCGTGAAGCATTGGTAGCGTCGACGGAATTTGAGCGGGGCCTGTCCTCGGCCACGGACGATTGCCGTCCACCCATCCACCGCAACAACTACAGCCTAGAAACTTCAATCTTAGATGCTTCTATGCAACGAACAGTTGTATAAGTCAGAATAGTCATTTAGCATTAATCCACCTTCGACAAGCTTAGTAGTATAGAAGCAAACCGATAAAGAAATTTCAGAATTCATGTCACACCATTTCGGAAGAAAACAGACATTCCATGAAACTTATGACAGTGTAAAAAGTCAGTGAGTGTGTAAGGAATGAAATATTACGGCAAGTAATCCACGGAGTGGAATGTGAGCGCAACCGAACACTTGCTAGTTGCCGATTTTGGGATAAATCCATCAACAAACACACAAATGACCTGTGAGTACACGACTATAATTGGTGATAAGGGAGCGAACGATCGTCGCACGTTTTCCGCCGACGAATAGCGCAATTGCTAACGAAAAATGCTTTAAGAATGCATAGCGACAAACGAGAAACTGAAAGTGTAATCCGGAACGTAATGAATGGTTGGTCCAGATAATTCAAGGCGAAGTCTGCACACCGCCTCTGCCCCAAGCGGGCAACAGCCTCCTCATGTCCTCCGGAGCACCTCAGCGCGGGACCACCTCTGCCCCACAACTGCTCTAGTGCTACTTTTACTCCAGGTTCGCGCATCGACTAGAACAGAACGATCAATGAGGAACGAACGTCCGCAACACGAGTTTGTTTTATCCCTGCCATCACACGCATTTTTGCGAATCTATTCTCACACCGTAATTGGGGCGATAATTATCGTGAACTGCCCTGGCACGGAATCCATACTCGCACGACCACAGCCCACGTGGGAGCCATCCCAGAAACTCGCTGTGGGTGCAGCATCATCTGCACGACGGAACCCGCTACTCCGCATGCAAACGGTCTTCCTGAAAATCGTTGGCACTCGTATTGTGGGAGAGCGAATCGATTGGAATGAAATGAATCGTAGTTATGATTTCCATACAGTTACAGTGTTAAACTGTCGTTTCTTGCGTGAATATGGCGAGCCGGGACGTTCGTAATGGGGATGTTGAGGCTATTCACGAGTGCTAATCCACGGCCAGCCTTACGGTCGATTTTGAACTGGCTGATCGCAGGTGTACCTGAAATCTATTGGGCCTGGGTCGCGGATCGAGAGCGGGAGCCTTGCAGCTGAAAACGAGTGCGTGGGATCGTCTGGGACGAGTGGTTCTGTAAAAATGATTGTGAAATCCACCATTGTTGATTGTGAACTCGAGCTATGCGGTCGTTATTGCTTTGTGGCCGCTTGTAGCACTTTGCTTTGCATCACCGGGTGAGTATGCCTCATTCGAGGAGATGGCCCGCTGAGGAAGACCTGACTCGACACGAAGGCGAAGCTGCCACGTCGAGACGAATAACAAGCGTGGACCATCGACTCCGGATCATCGGTTCTGAGGAAGACGAAGACGTCGAAACGTTAGACGAAAATAAATATAATCAACCTCGTGTAAACTCATCAAAGAAAGAATACGTATTGATTAGTCACACCGAGGTTCAAGGAAAGTCGGTTTCGAAATACTTTGTTTTCATCCGTTCCGCTTTAACTGTGGACGTGGGCAATGTGAGCTTGTGATTTCATGGGACCATAAGGTCCACAAATTTGATTCCGTTCGAAGGGACCTTCTATGGTTTGCTGAAAGTTATGGAATGTTCTTTATACTTAAATATTCAGTATTTATCTACGTGCTTCGTCTCCACGTCCATACATAATGATATGTACCTGCCTTCGATCGGAAAGCAAAAAGGAATTACAATACGGTTTTTTTCAGATTGTCGTGAAAACGACCGTTATGACATACGAGGGTACTTACTGAGGTGCTTCTCAGCAGTGCTTGTGATGGCTGGTATGCCTTCTTCACACTCAACAGCGCAGCTGCTGTCGGCCATCTCATCGCTCGCTGAAGTTCATATGTCTGCAAGAAGATTGAACGAAGATATACGGGGTCTACTGGAACAGATAGAGACGGTGGAGAAATTACCGCAGTCGATTAATCTCTGTCAAATTGACGGATGGAGGTCCAGGTATTCATTTGTAGCGCTAATTTTCAGTTTAACCATTTTTAATGTCCACTGATTGGAAATATAGCTTTCGAAGGAAGTGCTAGTGAATTTCTCATGGCGAGAAGGCGGGAAAAATTCGCTAGGCTTTCCGTTTCGAGTGAAATCTAGGCAAACAGCATAGAATGCTGATTCCGTACCACCGTGGTTCATTCAGCTGAGATCATTTGGCTTATTCTTGATTTCCTGTTGAATGCAGAAAGCTGAACGTTCACTTTTGAGACGATGTTCAGCATAGTTCTGTTCGTTGTCCGCTTAATATTTCGCCCATTGAAGGCTGCTTTCCAAGATACGAATGGAGATTTCCAAGCTCGAAGAAGCCTATCGTCATGTCGTCGGCTCGCAGTGGTCCGAATTGCTCAGGACGATCAGAAGAGATGTCCCTTCAGTGTCGTCTATAAGTTTCACATTTCCGAGTGACATGCAGCTTGTAAACGATTTCTACACTGAGGTATGTCTTGTGATTCCTCTAAAGTGTTAGTGCTCTGCACACTAGGTTCTGTGCTACGTTTTTGTATGATAAAGGTACAATTACAAATTTAGGCTCAGCAGGTTGCACTGAACAACGACCTCTTTGCCACCGATTTCAGGTTTCATATCCCAGTTACACCACTTAACGTTGAGAAGGCTATTTCTAGGGTTATTTCTGATATTAAAACTGGATGTTTAATCGACACAGTGCTATAGATGTGTCTCGCCTTACGTTGTCCTTGTTGTTGTTGTTGTTGTTGTTGTTGTTGTTTTCCGTGGTTTTTTTTTCGAATAAAATTTTCTATGAAAGTGTCAGCTTTGTCATACGCAGTGTAGTCTCCACTTCCTGTGCATCTTTTAAATTCGGCAGCAGGTGGTTTGCCATATCCTGTGTGTGGATTCTGCATTCGAATTGGAATGCTCTTCTTCAGGATGTGTGGTGATTGCTGTTGGCAGAAGCAGACGTTAAACAACGTGGACCAGGCAGCGTCACGATGCGAGTGAGTGCTTTTTACGGCATTTCGTCCTGGGTCAAAGTACGTCGGACTTCAATTTGAGCTTACAACATCGTCTAATTTCTGTCGCATGTAGGAAATTTTGTTTAAGATATGGGAGCTATCTGCACATTGTCACATGTCGGTTTTCATTTGCATAATGCCTAAACCAACCGGAGTACCTCTTACAAATCTGTTCATGTATATGTATCATGTATCTGTTCATCTGTATCTGTATCTGTTCATGAAAAGAAGTGCGTGTGGCGCAGTGGTCGGAGGCTCTCTGCAATACACACGGGAACGGTTCCCACGTTCATGGTCCACCAAGCCTTCTATCCATCCGGAGCCGGCAAAGTGGTACCAAACTTGTCTGGGAGGGTAGCAGCACTAGCTCGACACATCGGTAGGCTACCGCATGTCAATGTAATGTGTAGAGGCCAGATATGCATTCAGTCACCTCCAAGCGATACTTAATGAAGTTGAATGCATGGTGCATCCTTAACGGATTGATCAACGCAGAGAGCTTGATCGTTTATCCTTTATACGTTGGGAAGCGCTATATACAGGATTTTGCGCTGTACATTCCATAAATCCCGCAATATTTTATCGAAGACATCACACATAATCTCAGGACCACTTTATTCGTCTTATCTTGCTGTTGGCGATATGTTTACCACTAAATTCATTATGTTCAAGAGCGGTGCTGAAATCCTCGAAATGTAAAGCTGATCGTGTCGTGTCGGCATTTCCATACGATTCCAAGTTCGTAAAAATACTGCTTAAAGATGTGCACATAATGGCTATTGGAGACTCAAGTGAGTGGAACTTATTTAGTTATTTACATTATTACTTATTTCTCAACCAGTGATAGCTTCCTTTTTATTTGCTGCCTACTACAGTTTTTCACGATAGGGTATTGTGTGAAATACAACCACAATGACCGAACCGCAGGTGTCTGCGGTAGGTATCGAGCACCCTATTACCCTTTCCGGGAGCTAACGCGCTCGCCACCACACCATTCAGGTCCTTTGTTTCGCATTCTCTTCACCTTGTTTTTAATCTACCAGTGACATTAGCGATCACCCATCACCGGGATTGATCTGGAGAGCACAAATCAACGTTGAACCCAGTTAAGCTGGAGCTGTAGGTCGAAATCACTCTTTTTATCGTTTACTACCGATTAATTTTTTTCTCGGTAAGGTGTTATGTAAGGTGTAATCACAATGATGCTGAGATATTAGCAAAAATCCGGACCACAATGGTTTCCAGTGGGAATCGAAAACGCTATCAGCTCAACCATTGGTATCGAGAGGACGAAGGGATCGGAGCTCCTTCGAAGATATTTGAGCGTTGTCAGCACAGACACCTGCGGTCCGGAGTTTTGCAAATATCTCGGCAATCTTGTGGTTGTATTTGAGCGTTGTTTTCTTGTTAGTATAAACAAGTTAAGAATTTCTGTCGATGTATTCATGGGAGTTTCTCTGTTCATACAGCCGTTTTCTATGCAATTTCAGTCATGCGTGGAATTTATAAGGATTTAATAGCGATGTTGCACGGTGATGAGCTAGTAAAAGATATTAATCTGAAGTCTAAGACGGAAAGCTCGTTTTTTGGAGACAGGCAGGTGGATTTAAGTTTTTTGTTCAAGATATGCTTTCCCTCTAGTGAAGTAGTGCTACTGGAAGATACATATTCTTCTATATTTAACGCAGGCGACCTCGAGTGATCTACTAAGGGTGTTGGTGTTCTCAACTGTGGCAGGCAGGTTACTTGATTATGATGTTTTCAGATAGATATCCTTCCTCTTGAGAAAGACCGAGTTTTTAGACAGGCACGAGAATTTCAAACTGATTACTATTTAATTCAATATCTCTTCACCACCAGGCAAGTGATTTCAGTGTGTTGTATTTTAGCGGGAATTTTTATACGGGAACTTCATATGTGTTTCTACTTTAGAGTCATGAAAGTTGATATAGAGAGGGCATTCCTAGAGATGAGCTCTACTGGAGAATTTCCAGACGTCTTGTTAATCAACTCGTGTCTGTGGGATATTACAAGGTTAGCTACTGCGATTATGTGGTCATTGAGGCTTTCCATAAATATCGAATTTTATTGACAGGGTCATTATCCTTTTATTAATTGATTATTTGGATACTTGGACACTTGGACGGCCATTCCTTACTAGTTGTGAGAGCCCCAGTATAATCTTCATTTTTCGGAGTTTTGCTGGTTTAGCACTTGCGGTTCCCTGGAGTCCTGAGGTCAGCCAGGCCAGAGTCTGCCCCAGGTCGTCACCACCACAGGCAGTCGCCGCGCTTGTGGATCAGAGGAATATTTATCATCATGCGACTTTGATACCAGGACGGTGGTGTATCCTGGTATTGGTTTGCTCTTAGCTAGGCTTTCTGATGGAAACACTGGACTCCTCAGCTTGGGAAGCTTTGCCGGGGATGAATCGCACGCTGTACATCGCAGCCCAGCAACTAGGAATACTTCGCAGCCATGATGAGGCGGTGAACCGTTGGGAGGTATTAACTGACTATCTGAAATATCTTTGCAACGTGTTTGTTCTAAGGTATTCGCGCGCTTTTGATCTTGACGTTTCTCCAAATGACGACAAACAAGCAGGTACTGAGCGCGCTTCTCTTGAGGAGTTCTTGGAGCGGTGAGTTCATTTCTTCGTCCTTCCCTATTATTTGGGTTTACTTTCTACTTTTCAATTAATTTTTCCTATTTTTAACACTCATACTATACAGCTATTAGCGCTATGTGCTTTTTAAAGGGCTTCTATGATGATTCGTCGTCTTCGTCTCATGATGCCAGCAACAACACAGGTGATTTATTGGTATTCAGTAATATTGCTGTAATGTAGAAAGATTCGAACAGGAAGTGTGACCTTGAGAGGATTTATTTGTGAGGGCTTTTGTTAGTGTATTCTGCTGGTCTTTGTTAATGTGTTTAAGAAAAGCTGCTTTGATGTACACTGAATTTTTCCAAGGCTTATATGAGTTGCTGAGTTGTCGACTCATCTTTAGGTCTCTAATATTTAGGTTATTTGGTTGAATATGCCATGGCCAATACCGGTAGATACTCCCTCTCTGGTGAATAGAGTAGATAATTTCAACACAAGGCACTTGAGCAGGTATGTTCAGGAGTATATGTTGGAATATTTTCACATAGTGGATTGCCATGCGCTTTACTTCAAACAAGCCAAGTTTACCTAAAGGCAGTTTTCAGAATGCTTGTCGTGGACGCCAATTTTCGTGCTTCACAGCTATTCCGTGCTGCCGGTTATGACGTTCTTGACCTTGCATTTTATATGCGAAATCAAGCACTTTATTCTTATCGTTCGTTAGTTTTTCGTTCCAGAACAGTAGCTAGGTGAAGCTGTTCCTTAGCTGAAGTCCTTTTTCTGCACAGAAAAGATGGAATACATTGGGATTCTGTCGGGACACGCATCATGACCCAGTTGGTGATCGGACACCTAGTGCGATCGTGGAACATTCCACTTCCGGAGAGGATCAGAGACAAGTTGACGTCCTTGTTAGTTCCTTATTAGTTATTGATTTGTTCATTACAGTTTCTTATGTGTGAATGATTTCTGTACACTATTGTTTTAGTGCTGAGGAAGCTTGTAGTTCTGATATGTGGAGAAACTGGGCAGCTCGTTCGCTAGTGGAATCCGATATTTCCACTTTAGCAGATAGCAGATCTGCACATGGTTCTTTTCCAGAAATTATCCAGGTTACTCCCTGTGTCGTTGAAAGTCTAATTTTTGTCTTGTTCATAACATCTATTATTTGCAGAGGAAGATCAGGGAAGGCGTTTTGCATGAAATGAAAGACAAAAATCTTAAGTGGGTGTTTTGCATGTTTCTTTCTATAAAACGAAATTATTAATGAAATCAATTCCTACAATTTCAAAGACATTCCAGCTGTTCACGATATCGAACAGAGTAGGATCTTTGGTTTGGCCATTTTCTCCGCTTAGTAACTCAGGTGTATTATTCTCGTTATAAGCCTCGTTGTGTGAAAAGTAAAGACAAACTTTCTTTAAAGCAAAGGATCTAAAGTAAAATCTGTGTAATGACACCATACCAACATGGGTACGTTTTGAGGGGACCCAGATTCTGGAGCTGCAGATTTTCTGCATTTTTTATACTTGCGAAAACACTAGTCTCTATCTCGACATATTCGTCCCGTGAAAAATGAGAACTTTCAGTTTGACTTTCACTAAAGGTTCGGGCGTGGTTGGAACTTACTTATAGTTTTGTGGTGACCTGAAACAAGATTGTAAGCAGTGAGAACTGGTTTCCAAGTCCTGTTGAAAGAGCGAGTGCCGCAGCGGTAGTGATCCTGCTGATAACGTGAACAGCACCAACCATCCAAGTGCTGCCTCGACGTCGGGCGAACTAAGCTTCTTGTTCCTCTTTAGTTGAGAAATTGGTTCCATGCTTTTCTGTGGCAAGCCCACTCCCTCTGATCCGCGTGGAAGTGACCGAAGGAAAGTGGACTTAACATGCATTGACAGATATTCGTGGAGAAGACAAAAAATAATCTTCAAGCAGTAGCCGGTCCTACGCGCAGGAACTTCGAAGACCATCATGAGTGGTGGATGTGAGGGAGAAAATGGAATTCAAAAGTGCTGGGATCCACACAATGTGTTACTCGTGATCTCTGATCTTGTAATAGATGCAATAAGTAAGCATAGAGGACTTATCGGGAAGAGAATTTAATGACCTTAAGTGCTCTCCAGTCTCTGAATGGAAATATCTAAAGGTTTCGCCATAATATGAGAAGATGAATCTAGCTGTAGAATTATTTTAATGCAAAAAACTTTGTGAGTGGTTTTGTAAAGATACAAGGCGTTGTGAGTCTTTTGCAGCTTAATTGACTTATTTAACATCTTCCTGATAATGTTATTTTCGAAGATTGGATACATCTTGTGTACACCGACGTATTTCAGTTTATATGAAGCCATCCGCTCTGATATTCGTACGATGCGAATCTGTAAGCTGTTACGCGAGAACTCGAAAGTAGAAGAGCAGTTCACGTTAGAGGAGTCATGGGAGCTCGAAGAGATGGTTTGTTTCATTGTTCTGTAGCATACTTAGATGCATAGATAACCAGTCGTAGCGTGTCATACGCGTCCTAGCGCTTCTTTTATTCGTTCGGTTTCATCAAAGTCGTCATCCATGGATGTGGTTTTATCGGCGTGTTTCTTTGGCGGAGGTTTAAGGATTTGAAAGTTGATCCAACTGTGAGTACAGCTGTGATTCGCGCGCATGTAACGAGCACATCGGCCTATCTCCTTTGTAGTCTTCCTCGAAGTTATTTTGATTTTCTTGGAATTTCCTCCACCGTCCTTTATTTTCGCGCTTAATCTTCTTTTAGTGTATGAGAGATCCATAGATTTAGCTCCTAAGACTTATTTTGCTGGGTTTCCAAGACGAAATATTCTTCGAAGATCTGGACCACAAAACCGGCTTGGTGTTAAGTGTTCCGGTTCATCTTTTCGTTTTAAGAAGACTTCACTCCAGTTCCTTGTGTATTGTGCGCAAGTTATTCAAATGGCTAAAGTATCAGCCATATCCCTGCTACGTAGCACAGAGCCGGATGAATTGTTGCTTCAAATAAGTGAGCACATAGTTCGTGAAATTAATCAGTGCCTTCTGTCCCAGCGCAGCCCATGCCGGCCGTTGTTTTATGCCGAGTTCTTCTCTCAAGTCATCCATGTACCTGAACGTCCCAGACATACGTAGGATGTGGTCTCGTCAATTGCTGACCCATACAAGATGACCTGTATCCATACACACCGGGCGGTTTTTATGAAGTAAGGTTTCCTTAAGTTGACATCTATTCCAATTTCTTCTTTCGTTGAGCACAGAAGGCAACACCTCTGCTTCTGTAGTACTGCTGGACACGAGGCGAATATCGTCGTTGAAGAGGAGTCGTCCATCAACAAATCCCCTTTGTTTTCCTAGTATAGTGTTTGTATAGCGAACCGTAGCGCTGCGATGAACAGTCTTGAGGTTATCTCCCTGTCTACCTGCCGTACTCCTCGTCCAGTCGGAATGGCCGATGAAAAAGCATTGTCATTGTAGAAGGAGTATTAGAGTCGAAATATATTTCTGCACATGAAGCGCCCAAGTCTTGGTCAACTAACTGAGACGGTTTGAATTGTGCTTGTTTCTGCATTGCTTTCTCGTGGCTAAGAGGCAAAAGGAGTTAGAGAGAAGGTAAATAATATTCTCTGCACTCTCCACGACTTTTAAGAGTACCTGGATATGACGCATGCAGATAAGCATAAACGAAATCCAGTTTGTTACGTAAGTTGAGATTCATTCAAATTCTCCGAGATACGTATTAGGATAATCTTGAAATGTTTATAGAGTATGCTTAACTTAACATAGACTAAGCTTATAGGCTTGGTTATCGTACGGTAGTTATGAGGGCCATAATATTGCCTTTTCTGTGGACAAGAATGATATGTAAAGTTCTCTTCTGGTTGGATATCCGTTGCATTTGCAAATGTAACAAGTAGACCGTGTAGGTGATAGCTGTATGTGCGTAAAAGATTAGCTAAAATATCGCCTGGTTTGCAAGGCCTCAAGCTTCTAACTGCAACTTGTACTTCTGCGCCAAGCATTTACGATGGTGTTTTGGGGACGGTAATGTCTGCTACAAGTGTTGCGAACTGAAATTTTTGTATGGAATCCCTTCGTTATCAATCCCATCTGGCAGAGTGAAATTGTAGCACGCTTATCCTCTTAGAGTAGAGGAGAATACAGATTGTTGTTTTGTTACAAAACTTTATTCGGTTAACGAAACGTTTTCATCTTCTTCAGGGCTCAATTGATTCCAGTCGATGACTACGGGAGAATGCATTGCCACCATGAAAGTAGATCGAAATCGATGGCAATAGATCTATAGCCGTCCTGTATGAAAGATCTCTGTTGAGTGGCGAAATTTCATCCGAACGTTGCTCCACCCTATCGGCTTCTAGTTGAAGCGACAACGATTACTGCACATTGCGAGGACGAATGACCGTGAATTTTCGAATCGAATCAATCCGGCTCTAAAGCAGAAAAAGGCGTCGAAACGTTAGCCGAGTAAAGTTTTGTAATAAACTCATATTAGCTAAACAAGGTGACAAAGTATTGATTATTCATGCCGAGGTTAAACCACGGTCGGTTTGAAAAGTGTATTATTGTGTTCACGAAAACCTCGGCGGTATTTCTACAAACTTTCCATTATTTGTGTTAACTCTGGAATCTTCATATCTCGGTATCGGTGAAGTTCGTCCTATAGTGGTTTTCTTCAAATGGCGTTGATTATCGTTTGTTCGATGTCTGTAGCCTTGACGCAAGCACACCTATGTCACAAGCTCTTCGCTCTTGTTTGACCAATGTTGATAGCTTGTTGGATATTCTACTGGCTGACACCTATTATGCTGTTCATCTTTTGGAAAGCACCAAACGAGTATGTATTTAAGTAAGTAATGCACATGCACTTAAACGAATGCATTTCAGGCGAAGGCTTTCCCAAAGGTTGCAGAATACACCAAAAGTGGGTTGAATCAAGAAGTGACTTTGCTAGCAGATGAAGATCCTATAGCTGTAACGAAGGGTCGTAAACGTCCTCGTGGAACTGTTGGATGACACAACTGGAGCGATTACAAGGAAGTGGATTTCTCTCCATGCAAGTTGTCCTCACTCTAAACTTACACGACGTTGTTACATAGATTTCTATTATGGCTGACGTTTCAACACCATCGATTTCCGATTGGAAACGTTTCCTTCTTTTAAATTTCCATACCTCGTTTGTATTGCTACTCATTGAGATTTATATCTATGTCTAATATTCATCCCCTTTTATGGTTAACGCCTAGAAGTACAGGTGCAATCCTACCTCACTGGAAAACCTAAAGTTCACTTTGTTAATAGTTTAGATTCATTAAGTGAATCTTTCAGATAAATCTCCAAAAACGGCTCAACTGTGGTTTGTGGTAGAGAGCAGTTATGTAAATAACAGTTCTTGAACTAGTGTTTCCTGTTCAAAAATATGTAATTACAATATTTTTAAAACCGACCGTCACTTAACCTCGACTAACAAGTAACACCTTTTTGGATTTTAAAGCTAACATGAGGTCGATAAAGATGTTTATTCGGCTAACGTCTGAACGTCGGCTCTGATGAAGACGAAGACGTTCGAAACGTTAGGGGAATAAAACTCTGTTATCAACCTCTTCTGAGTGAATGAACGCTTAATGAATAACGATACCACTGACAACGATCGCTAATATAGTGCTTGTTAACAGCACAGGCACTGGACCATCTCCAAATCATTATGGTGGTCACAGACTAAAAGATAGTTGTGAGGAGGTTGTACAACACATCGATCGAAATTGGTGGACTTGTAACAATACACCTCCCAACGGTTAACCGTTTCATCGTGGCTGGGAGGTGTTTCTGAGTGTCGGCTTGCGATGTATAGCGGGGGTATTCATCCCTCCAGCAGGGTCTTCCAAGCTGAGAATGAATCCGGCGTTGCCATCAGGAAGCCCAACTAAGAGTAAACCAATGCCAGGATCCACCACCGTCTTAGTTTCAAACTTGTCGCGTAGTGGCAAATCTTTGATCCACAAAGCCGGTTACTGCCTGTGGTGGTGACGACCTGGAACAGACTCTAGCCTTACTGACCTCGGAACTCCAGGGAACCACAGTGGCTAAACCGGCAAGACTCTGAAAAAATGGAAAATGTGCTGGGACCTGCACAACCAGTGAAGACGGTCTGTCCAAATATCCATATAAGTATCAACATCGTGTATGCTAATCCAAGAAGGTGTGTAGTTACAGTTCTGTATCTCTGCAATTTTGCATAACGACTATCTCTCGACCCATTATTTGCTAGTAAAACTGTTGTGAACTGCACGAGTAGATAAATACAATGACTGGTTCTACCATCGCTGGCGGACATATCCTTGCATGCTTCTCTCCAGCGATACTCTCTTATTACGGAACTTTTTCAGAAGAGCATATGTTCGGAAAACAACATTTTCATATTCGAAGTTTTTTTTTGTAAACTAACCGATGCTTGGTACGACATCTGCGTTGAAAAGGTTCTCTACTGAAGGCAAAGAAGTCTAGGAAAAAACTGCCCAGCTAAAAGAACAGTGGGGACAAAATTGCGACATATATATGATAGACACGACTGTGGTCATTCAACTCGGTGCTTTACGGCACGCATAGATATTCTTGGTAACTGCAAGAAGACCAGGTCGACATAAGTCATTTAGCAAAACTACTGTAAAGACTCAGCTTCGTGGCGGTGAAAGTCCTCTGACTGATGTATCTTCGGCTGCCAGCGAAGCCTGGGGAATTACTTTGGTGCTCGCACAATATGGGACGATCGATGGCGATTGACATGGATATCGACACAGAGAAGTGAATGAAGTAGTGAGACGTTTCATCCTTTTCTGTTAACAGAGCCTTTATCAGTACCATGTGTCACTGTAGGCGCTCGGGACTGGCGACGCCGCTGAATTCGTGACCCCAGTTCCTTCCAGCTGTTGTGATTTGTGATGTTCTGAGCTGTTCATTCTTCAACAACTACAATGATGCTGAGATATTGATAATGAGTAAAACTCCGGACCACAGATGTCTGCGGTGGTTAATCACGACACCATGCGGGTCCACCGTTTCGCTTGTCTTTCAGCTAGTTTTTTGTCGATAAGTGCCACCTGCAATCATCCGCCAACGGGATTGATTTGGGAAGCCCAAATCGGTATTGAACCCAGTTAAGCTGAGGATGCTGATAGCATTGATCGATAGAAAACTGGCTGAGGGACAGATGAAACGAAGGACTTGCATGGTGTGGTACTGAACGTGCTAGCCCTCGTAAAGGATAGTAGCGCGTTCGTTCCCCACCGCAGACACCTACGGTCCGCAGTTTTACAATATCTCAACATCATTGTGGTTGAGTTACACATAATACCTTGCCGTGAAAAAAATAGTAGGCAGGGAATAAAAAAGTTAGTATTCATCAGCAGTTCGGCAACCTCCCCTTCCGGCCAGCAGTACGTCGGGCACGAGTCGTTCGCCCATGCATCGATCGGCGTCACGTGCGCGGTTTTTGGATGCGAGCGCGTTTTCCCTGCGGTCGTTGATTCAGGTGTTCTCGCCACCTACACGTTCCACATCGTACTGTTGACTTCGTCTTGTTCTGTGCTTTGTTTCTGGATGAGTCGTCCATAAGAGTACCTGTACAATATTCTTGGCCGGTCCAGTTTCGTACTGAATGGGAGGCTGGATTTCATCATTTTTCAAGTTGGAAAACTTTCTCTACAAACCGAAACAGCTGTCAATCGGAACTGTCGGTAAGCGGCGTGTGCTAGCAGATTCTTCTTCGTTATAATGCTTATTATAGTTAGATTTAATCCTGTTACATTCTTCATTTCTCGTGACTCTGTATTTTTCTGTTTTAGTGGGATTCTATCTTAGGTGATCCCAACCGTGATCCATTTGTGCTACTATCAGCTGCTGCCGAAATCGCAGCCCTGCATAGGATGGAGAATATGGTGGGTTTTGAATGTATATTTGTTTATTTTCAGTTATTTCCTTCCCTTCAACGATTTACCGCTTCATCATGGCCAAGAGGTGTCCCTGGGTGTCGGGTTGCGTTGTACCGTGGGAAGATATCCTCCCAGCAAGGTCTCCTAAACTGAGAAGGAGTTCGGCGTTTCCATCAGGATGTCCAGCTAAGAGTAAACCAATACCAGGGTCCGCCACCGTCTTGGTATTAAACTAGTCGTATGGTGGCAAATCTCACTCTGGTTCACAAAGGCGGCGACTGTCTGTGGTGGTGGTGAGGTGAAGGCTTGGGGCAGACTTTGACTAGACTTACCTCGGGACACCAAGGACCCACAATGGCCAAACCAGCAAAACTCTGAGAAAATGGAAATTATGCTGAGCCCGCACAACCAGTGTGGACGGGCTACCCAAGTATCCAAATTATAGCAGATGACATCGAGCTTCTCTAATTAGCTTTAGACTTTTACAGGCTTCATCTGAGCATGTAACTACTCATATAAATGCAGGCCAGGCGTCTTCTGGTTTTTTCGACACCGATGTGGTACGGTTTGAGTTTGGAATTTGTTTGATTTGTTTTGAAACACCATATTTTTGTCTAGTTCTATCCATGTTTATAATCTCATATCAAATGATTGCATGGACAATGGTTTTCTTTAATAGTAAATCGGGACGTTTGAAGGAGGAAGCGTTGAACAACTTCATGGGCGACGAGAGAGAAGAATCGAGTAATTCGGACTCTGATGCTTCTTCTCATGAATCTTGTTATCCCACCGGTAGTCTTTTTCGACCGAACACCAAGAAGTACGACATATTGCTACCCTTAGATCGCATGATAGTTGGAGATGAAAAGGTTTGAACTCGATGCTTTTGTTTTTCACTATGGTAGACATTGAACTATTATCGTTAGGTGATTTTCCAACCGGTCAGATCCCAGGAAAAGGCTAACCTATCATCTGAGGTGAAATATATGGGGAATTCAGTGTACCTGCAAAAATAACGTGGAAATTCGCTTTAGAAGTAACAGTGAGATGGAAACTGCTCGAAAATTTCTCGGGGAGTACGAACCATTAAACTGTAAATACTTAAATTACGTAGGTATCGTTTCGAAAGGTACCATTACAAAATGAAGGCCGAACAGATGTCTAAACGGGTCAGTAGGCTCTCGAACTGTAAATGAAGTGAACTTCTGACTACAGTATTTGCTATGTTTCGTGACTTTCTGCTTAACATAGTGATGCCAACAAACCATCGCTTCATCCATGTTTCGTTTTAACTGCTAAGGAGATGAAAGACTTCATTCTTTATGAATTCATTAAACTTTTCGCCTTAGTGAACAGGGTATAATTCAGTTTAATAGATTAGTCTTACGATTAAGTTCCGTATTGTGTTTGTCATGGTTAAGGCGTTTCGTGAGCTTCGTGAAGAAATCCAATGCAGCTGTTATGGGTGGTCTTCGGCATCGACGAGCATCGCAGAACTCTGTTCTCATCGTGAGATTCTTAAGCCGCGTGGTGGCAGTTCGATGTGTTCTGGGATCAAAACTGTCGTCGTTAACCAGTAAGCTACACATTTCTTTAATAAAATTCCTTCATTAAGATTTCTAGGATAAAAAAAGTTCAGAAAGAGAACTTCTCATTCACTCATTGATTCGTCACTATGAGTTCAACTCTTAGCTGTGGCTTATAAACCGATCTTAAGCTGACGCGAGGTTGGTACAGGTCTTCGTTGTCGTTGTTGTTTTTGATGTTATTGGTCGACTTCGCCTTCCTCAGAGCCTGGACGTATTTTATATTAGAATATTTTTATTATTCGGTGGAAAAGAAAGGTTAAAGTATTAATGAAGATCAAAATTTCAAATAGACGCCATATTGAACAGAAAGGCCACTTACCGTGTTGTTACGTGCGGGACTGACCCACGCGTCGTTTTCGTGGAGTCGCGAGCAGGACACACCCCGGGGTCAAAATATCATTCTAAAATAGGGTGCCAGCTCACGCGTGATAATGAGGCATTCGTCTTTCCGGTTCATCTCTGGATTTTTGAAATTTATCCAAAGCGCCTCAAGAGTTCTGCGCGTTGATGTTTCTGATTCCTGAGCTAGGATCCGCACAGTCACTTCAAAATCATCGCCGTTGTGCTTTTTGAAATGCAAGCCATTCTCGAGTTGCTCGTAGAGCACGAAAAGAAAATAAAAGTGTACGGCTTGTCGATTGCGCAATTAATGACTCTCTTAAAACTGTATGATCTGTCCTAAAGGGAGAGACGGAGATTGCATGAGTTTAGGTATAATATACTTCTCATGTAACGAATGCGGCGAGGAATATATTGGGGAAACGGGTAGGCCACTTTGTGTCCACATAAAAGAACATCTAGATGGGAAAGCTAAAATCCGTTTAAACACCCCTCTAGGTACGCATAGGGCACAAAAGCACAACGGCGATGATTTTGAAGTGAATGTGCGGATCCTAGCGCAGGAACCGAAAACGTCAACGCGCAAAACTCTTGAGGCGTTTTGGATAAATTTCAAAAATCCAAAGATGAACCGGAAGGACGAATGCCTCGCGATCACGCGTGACCTGGCGCCCTATATTAAAATGATATTTTGACCCCGGGGTGTGTCTTGCTCGCGACCCCACGTGAGCAACGTGTGGGTCAGTCCCACACGCAACATCACGGTGAGTGGCCTTTCTGTTAAATATGGCGTCTATTTGAAAGTTTGATCTTCATTAATGCTTTAACCCTTCTTTTCCACCGAATAATAAAAATATTCTAATATAAAATACGTCCAGGCTCTGAGGAAGGTGAAGTCGCCGAAACGTCAGCCATCCATCAATAACATGAAAAAAACGACAACGACAACGAGGACCTGTACCAACCTCTCGTCAGCTTAAGAAGATCAGTTTATAAGATCACATAAATAAATATACAAACTATCTATGCCGAGGTTTATAGAAAGTCGGTCTTTCGAGTTCTTAACTGTGGCGTTGAATTGTTTATGGTGACGTTGTTCTATGGTTATAAGGATTCATTTTCCACTGTTTAGGTTCCTTCCTAATTGTCGACGATTAGTGGATAAATTGAAATCGAAGTCTTTCTGTTGTCAGTTCGTGAAAGGCGGTAGCGAACTTCTGGTCGCTAGTCAAGGTGAAAATTTTATATCACAATATTCCTTCCCTGAAATCGTTGAATGGTTAGGTTTAGAACTTTGAGTTTGTTTCTGTAAAGTTGATTTGGCAGAGCTAAGCACTGTCATGGTTTCGTGGTGTGGTAAAGAACGTGGAAGTGTTAACTTTCTCATGAAATATTTTCAGATGGACGTATAAGGTTCTTCCAACAATGTGGCCCAAGAGATCGTTACTTGTTAAAAAACGCAATACAAGTAATTATTTTCTAAATTATAAGATATTCGCTAAAAAAACATTCGGAAATTTCCAATGTTTATTAGGTTCCACTGACAAGTTGGTCTATCCTCGATGTCGCCATGAATCCTGTAGGAGATGCACTCTGCTACGGAACATGGAGGAGCTCAGTATTTTATGCACGGTTTGATGTGCGCTATCCACTTTTTTCTTCTTGTTTCAAAACTTTGTGTCTTGCAGTTTATTCGAATCCACACCAAATAATCCCACTGGTGTTTCGTGGACCGAACTCGATATCCCTAATCAGGATACGTAAGTACCTAAGGTTTTGGTGATTATATTTACGCTGTAATATTGGAAGTGCTGGTCCTTTCGCCTACTGCTATTCTTTACTATTCTACGTGAATGTCCTTTTTTTCTTAATTCCACAAATAATAGGACTATATCTATCTAGGTTTTCTTGAAATTTTCGTTTGTTCCCTTGAAGTAAATGATTTTGGAGTATACTGTAGACTTGAACCCATACACTAAGATGGTCATCTCTAAATTGCTTTGAAATTGGATAGCGTTCTCCTAATACTATTGTATTTAGTACGATGGCAGTATTTTCCTTGCGGTTTTCACAAAAAGGACACGAGATTCTCTGTGGAGGTTCGGACAGAAGCCTACATATTTTTGATCTGGAGTCCATGACTAGGGTTAGCTTTTTTATTTTCCAGTGTCGAATAGTTCTTAGTAGACTTTTAAATGAAAGTATAGAATGTGTACTTTAAGAAATTTTAATTTTTAGATTGTTACGATTAATAATGCACATGGTGACGATGTTAATGCTGTGTGCTATGGTGATACAGACTCTCATCTTCTCTACAGTGGAGGTGACGATGGACTTGTTAAGGTATGTTGCTAGTTGATATGGAAGACCTATCTTTTAGTTGTTTGTTAAGTTCTCCTTCAAACACAAACGGCAAAATTAGGAACTAAAAGGAAAGTTTGAATGAGTAGTGAAAGTTTTTGGGATTCCTACACTTCTCACGTTTTTATCTGCAGGTGTATGACCGCCGTGCCCTTGGCGAGTTGGATCACCAACCTGTAGGTGTGTTCGCTGGTCACCGTGACGGTATCACATATATTGACGCTCGAGGGGATGCCAGGTTATTTGTACAGTACAGTTTCGCTCTAGAAGGTTAAAGGCATAAAGCGGTCGACACTAATCAATCTTTAATTTGCACCGAGTATTCGACTCCATTAAACATTGTAGAGGTAATTGAATGCATACTAGTGACTAATAGCTTGTTAATGTATCAAGTACGTAGTTTTTGTCCTAGCAGACGTCTGGTTTGGCACGAGCATGAAATCGAAGCAACGATGCTGTCTGTAGTGCAGAGCACATCTGATCATTGCATTACACTCGACTCTTACTTTGCAACTGTTATACCCTGTTTATCTAGGAGATTATGGTACAAGAGAACATTTTGAAATCTCTTTTGGTAATCTGTTGACCTTAAGGCATCTCATCAGTAATTCGAAGGACCAAACGATAAAACTCTGGGATTTGCGTCGATTTTCCAGTTATAGAACTGTGGTAAGTTATGTCAACGATAGAATGTTATCCATTGTCGGTGTATTTCCTTGCCTTTTTTAAGCAAAAGACGTTGTACTGCGTGCGGAAGCAGTCATGGGATTATCGCTGGCAGCCGGCTCCAAATACCAATTATTCGCCCCTTAAAGGTCTAACATCGTAAACTTTTTGAGTGCTTATAATCATCTATGGTTTTATTTAAATAGTTTAGGGGACACATCTGTGGCGACATTTCGTGGGCATAGTGTGCTACACACTTTGGTAAGAGCGAAGTTTTCTCCAAGTCGAACTGGAAGGCGATATATTTATACGGGTTGTGCGCGTGGAGAGGTTATTAGTGAGTTGTATTTCTTGAGCACCACCGTGAATCCAACTGCGTGAAATTGATTATTGGTTTTAGTTTACGACCTTCTGGCAAGCTCTCCCTCAGGGATGTCCACGTTTGACGCAAGCCTAGATCCAGTTATTTGTCGTCTACCTGGCCATATGGGGGTCGTTCGCGACGTCGATTGGCATCCGACAAATAACGAAATAGTGACTAGTGCAGTAAGTATTTAAATAGAGGAGATATCATCGGTTTATTAAGTGAGGTTGTGTCATAAATAATTACCAGTTTTGAGAAAAAGTTTTGGAATGCCGTAAGTCGGCTCAGAATGCCTCAGAAACAAGTTTATGAGTGGAAACAAGACTACATTCAGAATCCACACTTTTTGCTACCGGGAATTGACACAGTTTTGTGAAATTGTGTAGGTGACGGAATTTTCGAAAGAATTTTCAGCAGCAATTCGCTTGTTGGAGCTTTTCCCAGTTTAGAGTTGTCAGTTTTAATAAAGAAAACGACAGTTAGGTGCCGTGGGGTCTGGTGAATATGGTAGGCGGAGCAGTAGTACGTTTGTGTAATGGACGTTTGGGCACTTTCAGTTGGCCAGTTCTCAGTGCATACCTTACAGTTTTTGGAGAATTTCATCGCTTATGTGATAGTTCATTTCTTAGTGGCCGTTTCGTAAAAACTCTGGACTTTCGACCTAAATGGAAGAATCTAGCATAACATTTTTTCGATGCAAATTCTTCTGTTTCATTTTGGCCCACTCTTTTGACCGCATCTCTTGGGTTGTCGAATAGGAACATTGTGATCTAATACCATAATGTAGTCGGGAAATTGCTCGTTTTTCTGGGTAGGTGATGCGAAGCAGAAACTTTCCATTGTGTTTGAAAGATGAACGATTGTTGATTGATCAATGTTAGTTCGTTTGTAACTTCTGTTTCAGCGAGTTAACATCGATTATCGCATTCAGCTGATTAATTTTTTGCTTATTGTTCCCTGCGACCTTCACTGTCATCAAGACTTGTTCTTCATTTGCGAAACTATCTAATTACGCAGTGTACCTTCCGTACCTTTTTCATGGCTCATGCTTTTGTGGTATTTCAAGTGCCCACCGTAAGAATTCTTTGTTTTTACAAAAGTATCGATTACAAAATGTGTTTCTAACATTTATGAGGACAAGAACGGCTGTTATTTATGACTCTACAGTTATTACCACAATGTTGCTGAGATATTTGCAAAACTCTGGACCGCAGGTGTCTATGGTGGGGAACGAACGCGCTATTATCCTTTCCGGGGAGTAACGCGTTCACCACCACACCATGCGGGTCCTTTGTTTCGCACGTCTCTCAGCTATTTCTATCGATCTTTTTGCCACAGCAATCACCCGTCAGCGGGGTTGATCTGGGGAGCGCAAATCGGCATAGAACCCAGTTAAGCTATGGCTGTAGTTGAAATCACAATGTTTTAACGTTTTGTTTTCTGCCTTCTATAATTTTTATGGCAGGTTACTAAGCGAAATACAACCACAACGTTGCTGAGATATTTGCAAAACTCTGGACCGCAGGTGTCT